GCTGAAAGGTGAAGGTTAGGATAAGCGGTGACAGTTGTTGAGCTAAAAGCCTGGTGGAGGCCTTTAAGAATGATCCGTTTGGAGCACTGGAGCAGCACCTGAAAAACAGCATTAAGTGACCTGGCCGCATCGAGACTAAGTACCTAGCAGACCTAACACTTGTAGCGACTTGTAGCGACTTGTAGCGTATGGATGTGTAAGATCAAGTTGTGTGTCCCAGTTCGTGCCTGGTTCTGTTTGGTTTCTGGCATCTGGCATCTGGCATCCAATTTCTTCAGCATTCACTTCCAAATCTTCCAACTTCAGGTTGCAAAAAGAGGAGGAGGCCATTTGAGTTTGAGTTTGGCATCAATCCTCGGTCATTAAGGGCTCTGGTCAGCCGAAGCTTCGATTCGGTGCGTAGGTGAAGCAAAAGGTGAAACAGAAACAGACGAAGACTCCAGCGCTCCTTGACTGCGCCAAGTTGATCAAGCTTTCTCAAATTTTCTCAATCTGGGGATGGAGAGGTGAGGAAGATTGCCTGCTTCCGCTAAGACTTGTCTTGTCCTTCCCAGTGCCCTGAGTGGCGATGACACTTCCGAGTTCAGCGCAGCTGTGTGCACCCGAGGTCTGCAGTTAAAGACAAACTGAAAGAACAGAAGAGGTGCGAGCAGTGCGAGCTGCGTGATTTGGCAATCTCGTGTCATGGTGTAGATATGTGTAGATGCTCACGGTGTCGCAGCTAGACCAGGTAGAAATGTAAAAATGTGCCAAAAAGCGCCAGGTCTTGAGTGAGTTTGTAGTCAAGATATGTCAAGAATTGTTAAGAATTGTTAAGAATTGTCACGAATTGTCAAGAAAACCACGATGTCAAAGTTTGTCCTGACCCAGAACTGGCACCAAGAATGCCAAGAGCGTCAAGAGCGTCAAGGGCAAGTTCTCCAAACCCAAGCGACACAAATGAAGCAGTGCCTTGGGAACAAGACTTCTCGTTGCTGTGGTAGTAGGGATGTTTGTTTTCTTTTTCGTTGACCCCAAAGTTGGTAACCCTCAAAGTTTGTTTTCGATTATTTGTTCTTCCCCCGACTCAAGCCTGTAGTTTACAGGTGGTGTTGTAGTCATTTGCATTATTTTGCTCAGTCCTCCTGTGCTGACTGAATTTTGCACAGCCATTGGCCCAAACTTGTTGGTTTTTCGACCGGCCTATCTCAAACACAACACAGAAATCAACAGGCCCAGCCATGGCCAATTAAAAAACCAATGCAAAGGCGTATCATGGCGTATCTACTTGTATCGAGGAAATTCCAGGCACAGTCATCTCTTTGCTGTCCGTCTAGCTGTACCGGTATCAGAGCCTCACAGACACAGTACTAGTTGACTCCGATTCGCCCTCAGTTGACTCAGCTCACGGTATCTAAACTGTCATGATTTACCATGTTTTACCATGTTTTACCCACATCATCATCAGTACCTGATCAAGGTCCCAAGGTAGGTCGGCGCAGTGTCAATTAGAGCTACACAGAACAGGCCACTAAGACAATCTAAGACACACCAAGATTGTTCGTTTTATTTCACGACGCCATATCGACCGTTTGTGGAGGCCTTAGTTCCGATATGTTCCGATGCTTGAGACTTGGAAGATGGGAAAAACATTTGCAATACGTCGTAAATCCGTTGTAACAAGCCTGAAATGTGGTAGACCTGCCCGTTTCCCTAAGATTCGCCTCAAAAAAGAGGCTTTAGAGGCAATTTTTATCAATTTTTCATGTCATGTTTGCAGGATTTTGCAGGCATGTTGTCATATTTTGCATGAGGTGCATATCCAATCTGCCAGCCATGACTGAGACCGAAGAGAAGCTCAGGTTGGATGCTGCGGGGTGGACAAACGTTTTTGCACCCACTGGGAGCACCGTTGCGATTTCAAGATAATTTAAACATTTTAAACATTTTAAACTTTATTAATCCAGTCCAAGCTCACGGTGTTTGACATTGCCAGCTTTGTTTTGATTTTCATGGTTCGTTCACAGATGCGTCATGATGCGTTTTGTGTGCAAGGGGCATGGGCGTCACTATGGATCAACGGCGCCGTTTGATGATGGCCTCCAAGTGTCCCGGCGAAGCATCAGGCGATGGTAGACAGGTACTTGTGTAGACAGGCGATGGTTTTTGGTTTTGTTTTGACAGTCTGCTATCAGCTGCTATCATGCTCCATCCATGGTACTCGTAAAAAGTGCAAGGGCGCGCCGGGTGCACGGCCGAGGTTGGGTTTGGGGCCATTGGGTCAACTGGGCATGCCCAACGAAGACAGGCTCGGTCGGTGTAGAAATTGGTGAGTTTGGGCAGCACGTTGAGCTGAAACCGTTGATCCAAAGCTCACCGTGAAAACATCTTTCATAATTTTTCATCATTTTTCATCATCTTTCACATCGTTCTCACCGGTCACGATTTGAACCGGTGCAGGTCTCGCTCGCCACAGCGACAACCGTCACCGCCCGTGAGTGTCGGACCAAGATGTAAATCCTTCATTGAAAACTAAGGTGCGGGGGAGCCTTAAACGTTGATCAGACAGTGAGTTCGATCTAAGAGCTCAAACAAGACGTGACACGACGTGACATGACGTGACACGAAGTGAGTTCTCAAAGATTTCTGAGGTAGCCAGGCCTGGAGATGTTTCCGCAGCTTGGGAGCTGACCACCATTTTGACCCATGGACTCTGGACATCCCAATCATTGGCATATTTGGCATCCATGAGCACTTTGGCAATAGCCTGTCATAGCCTGTCATAACCTGTCCAGTCTTCAATGCAGGCTAGCAACTTGGTGGCTTTTGCACCTGGTGGCCACCAGGTGCGGATTCAGATCTGGAGAGTCTGCAAAGATGGACATTGCAGACATTTTCAGCTGCCTGTGACTTTGTCCGTAGTTTTTTGGTTTTTGTGGTTTCGATTGGAAGGTACCCGCCCAAAATGCGGAAGCTGCAAAGCGACGTTTGGCGGAGCAGGCATCTGCAACTCGCAGACGCTGGACACGAAGACGAACACGAAGACGAACACGCAAACAAAGTTGCAACAAGATCAAACAAGAGGGACCCTAGGGATGGCAACGTTTGCAGTTGAACTTCCGAAGCCATTTGGATTTCACATATTTCACCCTGATAAATCATGAGGTTCTATATATTTCTATATGGTTCTATGATATTCTATATAGATTCTTTGGGAAAACAACAGCATGAACACAGTTGAAACAACGGCGCTCCACTTCCATTAAACTTCAGACTAAGCAAACACTCAGAGCAGCATTTTTCCAGCCATCTGGGAATTTTGGCCTTGGAGTTCCAGGATTGCCAGAAGAAAAAGAGAGAGCACAGAGAGAGAGAGAGATAGAGAGAGAGAGAGAGAACTCCTGCAATCATCTGCAATCTTTTCCCAGAGACACAGCGCAGAGACCGCGCAGACGCCGGTTGCCATGGCATGGTGGCATGGCGTGGCGAGATACCATCGAGGTCACTGAAAACCTTGACAGGTCTTGTCATTTCTACATTTCCACATTTTCTTTTCATTTTCTTTGACTTTGACACATGTCCACATTCCACAATGTCCACATTCCATGTCTTTGACACGTTTTGTTTGACGGAAATTGTGACCGAAGAGGCCGGAGATGGTCATCAGGATCCTCTCAGGCATGAGGAAGGAGGCCGATTCTCGAAAAGATTCAAAGATTTCTTATAGTTTCTTGAAGTTTCTTGTAGGAATTCCTGAATGTATCCTGAATTCCTTTGATTTCCATTGAAATTCCATCGAATTCCTCATTTCCCAGTGATGATGATGATGCTGCGTTCTTTTCCAAGCTCTTCAGGCGAGGGCCATTTGGCCATCGACCTTCAGGATGAGAGATATGTGGAGTCAGCCTTGCAGGAGTGACTCCACTTACTCCACTTGTGCCGGTTTTTTGGCCTGTGGTCATAGGCTCATAGATGTGACATTGATGTGGAATGTGCATCCAGAATCCAGGACATTCAGATGAGGATGCTTGCCAGCAAGTGGATCTGACGCTTTTGATGTTCACCAACGTTTTGAGATGTTTTGAGAAGCAACAAGTTGTAATGCTGCACCATGCTGCACCATGCTGCACCAATCACCAATCAAGGGTGGAGAGTGGCGAGCGACTTAGTTTGGCGCAATCGGATTTTTGGTCGAGCTTGATGTGAGATTTTGCTTCACTAACAGTGCTTTCACTAAGTGCCACTTTCAGGTGCTGAGCATGGACTGTTCGGTTATATCGTGAAAGTCCCTGTCACCATTTCTCCAGAACACAAGCGTCTTGGATGATGTCTACGATCTCAATGTTTACTGTTTGTGGGTACCGTCAGAGCAATCACATGGAACACTGTGCATATGAAATTGAATTAGTTTGACGGCTGCATTTTTCCTTTCTGTTGCTTGATTCTAAGCTCGCCGCGCTTTTCGAAATGGTTGATTTTGACTCTTGACTCTAGCTCGTCCAATCTTGTTTTGTGTGCAAAAGCATTTATCCAAGGCTTGGTCTTTATCTTCGCTCCTTATCTGCATACGACTTGCAGATTGGTCATGATTGGTCTATGGGTACTCGTAGCTGTAGCATGCTGTAGCATATCGAAGCTTGAGGCAACATTTTTGTTTGCTCAGGAGACCCTCAGGATGCCAACAAGGACTGACACTGATCCCAGTGATCTGTTCTGAAAGATCTGAAAGATCTGAAAGATCTGAAAGATCTGAAAGATCTGAAAGTGTGCCCGGAGTACTTCGAGTATACTTCGAGTATTTTTAGTATCTTTCAGCCCAGTGTGCTTTCGCGAGGCCGTTTTGCTGGACGACACGTTTCCTGGCAACCCACCTCACCCGAGCACTGAGGTGCCACCATCGCGGTGGGTATGTTTGAAATCATCATGGAAGTGATGACAGTGATGATACCTGGTGCCTGCACACCACAAGATCCACAAGATCCACAAGATCCACAATTGCCAAACACTTTGATAATGAGGTCATGCATGTCGACACAGATCCAGATTGCCAAATTGGTTGGCGCACCAAGTCATTTGGAAAACGGGAGGCAGAAGAGACTGTCACTGTGCAAGTCAAGAATCACAGTGATGGACCTTGCAGCTTTTTACGTGTTTTTTTTTGGAGTGTATCATTGATGGAACGCCAAAGTAGAATATACTATACGTTACATACATATATCACCCATGCGAGCAATGTTTTTTTTGAAACCAATCTTCTCTTTCCTTTTTGGTTGGATGCGTGACCAATCTCTTCATGTGGCATTTTTGCATTCTGAGGCGGCTGGAACCTCCTGAGGACTTTGGACGCTGAAGTTGATGTCGATGCCTCAGCCGTGCGCCATTTACATCATGCTGAACTTGTGAGGAGTTCTGCTTGGTGTTTGAAGATCTTTCAATTTCTCCACATTTTCCATGTGTTTTTCACTTTTTTTCCATATTTCTCCATGTTTTTCCATGTTTCTCCATGTTTCTCCATGCAGTCCGACATTCCCCTCAGCCCCGTCCAGGGCTTCAGTGCTGGCAGTGCCGAGAACATCGACACCTCCTTGGATGGCAATGGAGCGAGCGTGTGGCTCACCTCCGTCGAAGTGCACCTCCATGGCACCTCGGAGTGATGAGCTATGGACAGCTATAGCTGTAGTATAGCTGTAGATAGGCTAAAGAAAGGCTATACAGATATAGATATAGTATGATATAGCTATAGTATATGTTATAGTTATAGTTATAATATGTTGTATTCAAGTGATTGCCATGCTCCATATCATTCCTTGGATTCTGTGAGTCCATGAGTTGAGCTGGTGTTGTTTGAGACGCTAAGGCCGCATCGTGGCACAAGAGTTTGGTGCAAATGGTGTGCTGCTGATCCAGAAGGCACCTTGATATTTCTTCGGAGCGATCTCTTGGCCGGAAAAGCTATGGAAAAGCTACGACATTTATATGACATCATATTGTCAATATTCAGTAATATGAAAATCTGAAGATTCTGAAGGATTCTATTTTCTGACTTTGTCCAGCGGAGGTCCAGGAAAGTCGGGACAAAGCCAGGTTGGGCTTCGCTTTTTGCAACGATCTTTGCAGATTCAGAGAGCTGTGAATTCCACAATCAAAGTCACAAGTCTTTAGGCTGGTCCTTTGCTTCTTCAAGCAGCAAACCTATTCCTTCTGGTACAAGGCAGTTTCGATCAGTTTCGGCTATTTTGGGAAGGTCAGACTTGAGAGACATGAGATGTATTGTTGTGGGAACACACTTCAAACAGCGTGTTGTGTACGTCTGCAAATCTCATCAAATCTCCACATTGCTGACATGTCGATAGAATCCTGCAAGCCTATGCAGCCTATGCCAGCAGAATCGAGAAAGCTGATAAAGCTGATTGTCATGGTTCGAGCCACTAGACAGACTGCCTCGAGCAAACTCCAAAAAGTATCGGCGTTTGTAGCTTGCCCATTGCTGTTGCTGGATGTGGTCTTTGAGGCACGAAACATCCGTGGGAATGCCCTGCACGTGCTGGCAGTGGCACGCCGAAGCTTAGCTGAACCATGCTGAAGCTCTGCCTTTCTGTTTCTTTTTCTCCAATTGATCTCCTGATCTCAACAGGAGGACTTGAAGCAAGTTACATCCCTTGGAATTTTTCATTCCATCATTCTGAATCATTCCCCCTACCTGCTCTACCTGACTCTACCTGCTTTTCATCCGAGCACCATCCGAGGCCATCAAGTTGTGAACGAAGAAGTGTATGAACTGATCAACGTGGATGAAGACGACTTGGATCTTGATACTCAATGGCTGACCTCCGAGTGTTACTTGTCGAGCTCCCCACGTGCAGTCAAGAAGGTCAGGCGTTGTTTCATTTTTTTGAACAACTAAAGATAACTAAAGAACAGATAAGAAAAGGCTAGTTGGATCTATTTGGAAAATCGTTGTTTGCCTTTATTTTACGTAGCCATGGAGTGGAACAGCAAGATGCTGCCGAAACGCCTTTGCCTTGCAACTTTCTAGCTGGCAATCAGTTTCAAAGGTTGAACCACGAACAACAGCTGAGGTATATTTAGAAGAGACCGAAGAATAGGCGACTTGGCAACTAACCTGCTAGCAAAACAAACAATTATATGTTTCGAACTTATTTCAAAACATTTCAGAATGATTCATCTTGAAGTGGCAATTCCAGTTGACTTTGAATGTACAGTGCAAGTCTATGCACACTCTCTTCCGATGACTCCATCCCTTTTTTGCAAGAGGGGCTGGGATGGAAGTTTACAGAAATTGACACAAGTTATCATAAGTTGGCATAAACATGCATAAACTGAGAGTTGAATATAGTTGAATATAGTTGAATATAGTTGAATATAGTTGACTGTGGGAGGCCATTTCCAAGCGCTTCATTTGGCCGCGGGACGTGGCAACGTCGAATTTATCGAAATGCTTTTGCAGGCGTTCTGTGGTGTTCTGTGAGATCCAGTGCTCAGCACTTCTCAGTGTATCGTTGTGCCGTTGGACATGGACCCGTGTCAGGCAAGTGTGGACGTCGATGTGAAAACGCGCTACCAGCACAAGGAGTGCAATATGTGCAATCTGACATAATTTGAAAAGTGTTCGGAAGAACTGTTACATTCTGTACATTCTGTGGCAGCCACGTGGCATTCTGAATGCTTTGTTTCAGTTCTGTCGTAGGATGTCGTGGGGACTTTGCCGACTTTTGGTTGTTTTGTTCTCCCCATTTCTCCCCAAGGATCTTTTAGGTCAATGTTTTGCCTGCACAATGCCGCACAAGCTCTGGTTCGAAATTACTTCAAGAGCCCAAAGTCTGGGTGTAAAATGTTGAAAGAGTGCCGCAATTAGAAGGACACCAAAACCCTCTGACTAAATATTAGAAGATTCTGAAGATTCTTTGCTGGATGCTAGCACGCACAAGAACTTGTTCGTTCGAACTTCAACGGCCAGAATGAGTGGCTCGCCCAACCCACGATGAGAATCCTCCCTTCAAAAGCACAATTTCGCAGGAACTTAAGGCAAATGGAAAGCTGCTAAGCTTGCCATATCTTGCCATGCCACTAAAATGGACACTTCATTTTGGATCATGGCATTGATTCCATGCAAATTTCCAATTTCGAGCATTGGAACAGGAGAATTACACGGCGCTGCACGAGGCCTGCTTTTTCAACCAGGCTGGGATTCCCAGCTGTTCTGGAGCGCGCTTCTGAGTTCTAGGTGTAAACTAGGCGTAAACATGCCAAAGCGGCAGGAGTCAAGTGGCTCAACTGGCTCAAGTGGCTCAAGTGGCTTCACTGTTTTGTAGCAAGTGGACTTGTAGCATCAGCTTGGAAAAGGGTGCAGGCGTACAGCACAAATGTCAGATGTTTCCAGGCTTGACGTTTCTGACGTTTCTGATGTTTCTGCGTTTCAATGTTTCCACAAATCGCCCAGCCCCAACTGCACCAACTGCACCAACTGCACCAAGTTTGGCGCGGTGGAGTGTCTTCTGGCATATGGTGCCAATGCACTTTGGCTTTCTATGCGAGGGTATGTTGCCAAGGATCAAGTCGTTCCATGTCGTTCCAATTCTTCCATGGCTACTTTGTATAATTTGTATAGCTTGATATCGTTGATCGCATGGTGGAACCCGAGGTAAATGCAATCAACCTTCACATGCTGACACCTTTACACATCGCTGCTGCACAAGGAGGTGGGTTGCATAGACAGTCTCAAGCATCAAATCGATCAAATCCGAGCTGCCACACTTGAATTGTCCCACTGTCCCACTGGACAAGGATATCGGAATTGCCGTCTATTGGTGAGAAGCGAAGCAAATTTGGAACAAAAGGACATGGTGACATGGTGACATGGTCTTGCGATGTCTTGCAACTGACTGGAACATTTAGTGCAGGAATATGCTCACTGAAGAGAAACATGTATATATCAATATATCTACTCTACTCCATCTGATACCATCTGTGTTTGCATGATCGTACATGCGTGGATCCATCAGCGCGGGAGACTTTGCAGGACGCATCCAACCGCACTCCCCTTGATGCAGCGATGGAGGGTGGGAGCCACTTGGTTTAGGCACATATGACTGAGTATGACTTCGATGACATGATATATCCATAGTATTCCATAATCAACCTATCTATGTTTGACATTATTTGATATGATCTATGCTGATTGCATTTTGACTTTGAATCCAATCTTGAGATGTTCACAGATTTGTCAAAGTGTCAGACTCTGAGGATTTCCACATCACAAACTTTTTCACCTCACTGGGCGTGGTTTCAGCGACCTTCTGAAGGCATGGGTGTCGTGGGCTGATGGCATCTGATGGCAGCTGGCACAGCTGGTAGCCAAGTGGAGAGGTGGCGAATCACAGCCCTCAAGCAGCCTCCGACCTCTTGCGGCACGTCACGGAAGATACGTCGGGAGCTTTGAGACTTTCGACTTCCGGGATGGTACGCATGGCAGACACAGCAGGATGGGACACGTGGCTACTTTATGTTGCCTCTATGTTGTCCCTATGTGTCCAAACCACTCCCTAGTATACTATAATAATCCATAATATATGGATACTATATGGATACTATATGGATATCATATGAATAATATATGATGATATAGGAGTAATCACTGTATATGTCATCATTTTGTCATCTCACCACTGGATGCATCGTTTTGCGCCCAGGATTCATGGGAGCTGGGCCTCAAATCTGGCAAAGGCTTGGGACATGGGACACATCATCCTATCATACGTACATTTGTAGTCAATGATGACATTAAAAGACATTAAACATGGTTATGATATGTTATGATCGGATTGATAGGATTGATAGGATTGATTGCTTGTTCGTCAACCAAGTACAGTCTCTTGGCATCACAAAAAGTGCACAGGAGATGATTCAATCTCCATCAGATGGGCTTCAGTGGCCTGGATGGAAAAACGATCATGTGACACGACACACGACGTGGCACGACGGAGAGCGCTGATGGGCACCATGGGCACCATGGCACCATGGGCGATGGTTACCATGGTTCTGAGGAAATGGATTTCCATCCTCGGACTTGCCCCAAAAGCTGGAGAGGAGGCAACTGCAAACAGATTCACAAAATTTCACAAATTTCTGAAGAGATTGGATGAGATTGGCTATTTTTCCACGAACTCAACAGAGAGATCTCATGAAATCTCATGAAATTCCATATTTCTTCCATGCTCCAGATATGGCCGCATGCCCCGCATGCCGTGCGGGTTGAAATTTGGATTTTGTCGATTTCCAGGTGATTGAAGCTTTGACTGCAGAGCCACCCGTGGCTTGGTGTCAGGCGTCATGTCAGGTGGCGTCAGGTGGCGTCAGGTGGCGTCAGGTGGCGTCAGTCCGACTAGGAGCAGGAACTCTCGTCATCTTCGTTTTTTCGTTTTCTCGAGAATTCGAGAGAAGCTGAAAAATTCTGAACAATTCTGGACACTTGTAAGGAAGCTCAGGAATTTTACGGGAGAAGTATTATTGCCACGTTCTGCTTCATATTGGCCGCTTCTTGATTGTTCTTCAAAGCGCAGGGTTTCTGCACCCAGGGACAGGGCGGGGGGGCTCTGAGGTACAAGATGAGTCTCATCATCCGCTTCCTCGACGAGTGAGTATGCCTCCAGGCGCCTTTTGCCATGACTAGATTCGACAACACGATTAAAAGCCATGGCAGTTTCCTGTGGCACCAGGCGAACATTTCTTGTGCCAGTATCAGCAAGAAGACTCCTGGGAATATTCCGGAGACTTGACTTTAGAAGACTTTAGATGGTCGATGATGGTCGAAAGGCTTTCCAGATTGATGATGTGGTGATGGAGAAACCGCTCTCAGCCTTTCTCATCTTTCTCGGCAACGGTAGTTGAGTGGTCACCTTCCATAGGATGTTGGAAGACGTTGGACGGTTTTTGTTTGCTGCATCTCGCGATAATCCGCGGGACGCTTTGTTGTGACACGCACTACTTCAAATTGTTTGATATTCCCAAAATCAGATGGACGAACTATACATAGTACATCATAGTAAGATATGTAAGATATACATCTATAGTAAGAATATACATCTATATATCAGGTCTAGAAATATAGACACATCTCATTTCGAGATGTTTCCGGAAACTTTAGGAATTCTTATGTCGGGCACTGATCAGTACACTCATAGCCAGCTCCAAGGATCGAAGAACAAAGCCTTTCCCAATTGGCACAAGGAGCTATGCCCAGGCTGCGAGGCCGGGATAGCAGAACTCCGGCGCAAAACAGGTTCCAGTCATCTCCAGTCATGAGAATCATGAGATTCCACGAAAGTATCCCGTGCAAAAATGTGCAACATGGATTTTGGATTCTTGGCCTTCGCTCTCTTTCTCCATTGAAATCCGCACAGACGCCACAGCAAACCTATCTTATCTATCCTGTATCCCGTGATTTTACAGATGCGCTTGGCGACCAAGCCCATCAAGAACCGCACAGAGAGGTTGTTGAGGCGGGGACCGTCCGGATGAGTGCACTTTCGCCATTTTTCACTGTCTTTCAGCACAGTTGGCAGAGTTGGTTTATGTTGGTCTACCGTTGGCACAGGCAGCTCTATGCGTTTACCACCGGCCAAAGTACCGATGCTTACAATCGAAGGCACCGAGTTGGAACCTCAATGGATCGAGTGGGACATAGTGGGACCATCAATGCAGTTGATATCCGTTGATCATGATCCACTTATTAAAGGGCTCCGCCCCCTGCCGCCGACCCCTGGGCATATCTCCCATTGAGCAAAACAGCAGGGCCCTGAAGGACGGACCGAGCCTCCGGGCAACGGCTCCCACTGCCTAACGTTGCTTTCTGAACCTACAAGAAAACTAGCTCTCTTCCAGCCGTCAAGGCTCACAAACGGCGCCCTCGCCACAGCAAAACAGCAGGGCCCTGAAGGACGGACCGAGCCTCCGGGCAACGGCTCCCAAACTAGCTCTCTACAAGAAAACTAGCCTCTTCCAGCCGTCAAGGCTCACAAACGGCGCCCTCGCCACAGCAAAACGCAGGGCCCTGAAGGACGGACCGAGCCTCCGGGCAACGGCTCCCAAACTAGCTCTCTTCCAGCCGTCAAGGCTCACAAACGGCGCCTCCGCCACAGCAAAACAGCAGGGCCCTGAAGGACGGACCGAGCCTCCGGGCAACGGCTCCCACTGCCTAACGTTGCTTTCTGAACCTACAAGAAAACTAGCTCTCTTCCAGCCGTCAAGGCTCACAAACGGCGCCCTCGCCACAGCAAAACAGCAGGGCCCTGAAGGACGGACCGAGCCTCCGGGCAACGGCTCCCAGTGCCTAACGTTGCTTTCTGAACCTACAAGAAAACTAGCTCTCTTCCAGCCGTCAAGGCTCACAAACGGCGCCCCCGCCACAGCAAAACAGCAGGGCCCTGAAGGACGGACCGAGCCTCCGGGCAACGGCTCCCAAACTAGCTCCCTCCCAGCCGTCAAGGCTCACAAACGGCGCCTCCGCCACGCCAAAACAGCAGGGCCCTGAAGGACGGACCGAGCCTCCGGGCAACGGCTCCCACTGCCTAACGTTGCTTTCTGAACCTACAAGAAAACTAGCTCTCTTCCAGCCGTCAAGGCTCACAAACGGCGCCCTCGCCACAGCAAAACAGCAGGGCCCTGAAGGACGGACCGAGCCTCCGGGCAACGGCTCCCAAACTAGCTCTCTTCCAGCCGTCAAGGCTCACAAACGGCGCCTCCGCCACGCCCAAACAGCAGGGCCCTGAAGGACGGACCGAGCCTCCGGGCAACGGCTCCCACTGCCTAACGTTGCTTTCTGAACCTACAAGAAAACTAGCTCTCTTCCAGCCGTCAAGGCTCACAAACGGCGCCCTCGCCACAGCAAAACAGCAGGGCCCTGAAGGACGGACCGAGCCTCCGGGCAACGGCTCCCAAACTAGCTCTCTTCCAGCCGTCAAGGCTCACAAACGGCGCCTCCGCCACGCCCAAACAGCAGGGCCCTGAAGGACGGACCGAGCCTCCGGGCAACGGCTCCCACTGCCTAACGTTGCTTTCTGAACCTACAAGAAAACTAGCTCTCTTCCAGCCGTCAAGGCTCACAAACGGCGCCCTCGCCACAGCAAAACAGCAGGGCCTGAAGGACGGACCGAGCCTCCGGGCAACGGCTCCCAAACTAGCTCTCTTCCAGCCGTCAAGGCTCACAAACGGCGCCCTCGCCACAGCAAAACAGCAGGGCCCTGAAGGACGGACCGAGCCTCCGGGCAACGGCTCCCACTGCCTAACGTTGCTTTCTGAACCTACAAGAAAACTAGCTCTCTTCCAGCCGTCAAGGCTCACAAACGGCGCCCTCGCCACAGCAAAACAGCAGGGCCCTGAAGGACGGACCGAGCCTCCGGGCAACGGCTCCCAAACTAGCTCTCTTCCAGCCGTCAAGGCTCACAAACGGCGCCTCCGCCACGCCCAAACAGCAGGGCCCTGAAGGACGGACCGAGCCTCCGGGCAACGGCTCCCACTGCCTAACGTTGCTTTCTGAACCTACAAGAAAACTAGCTCTCTTCCAGCCGTCAAGGCTCACAAACGGCGCCCTCGCCACAGCAAAACAGCAGGGCCCTGAAGGACGGACCGAGCCTCCGGGCAACGGCTCCCAAACTAGCTCTCTTCCAGCCGTCAAGGCTCACAAACGGCGCCCTCGCCACAGCCCAAACAGCAGGGCCCTGAAGGACGGACCGAGCCTCCGGGCAACGGCTCCCACTGCCTAACGTTGCTTTCTGAACCTACAAGAAAACTAGCTCTCTTCCAGCCGTCAAGGCTCACAAACGGCGCCCTCGCCACAGCAAAACAGCAGGGCCCTGAAGGACGGACCGAGCCTCCGGGCAACGGCTCCCAAACTAGCTCTCTTCCAGCCGTCAAGGCTCACAAACGGCGCCTCCGCCACAGCAAAACAGCAGGGCCCTGAAGGACGGACCGAGCCTCCGGGCAACGGCTCCCAGTGCCTAACGTTGCTTTCTGAACCTACAAGAAAACTAGCTCTCTTCCAGCCGTCAAGGCTCACAAACGGCGCCCTCGCCACAGCAAAACAGCAGGGCCCTGAAGGACGGACCGAGCCTCCGGGCAACGGCTCCCAAACTAGCTCTCCTCCAGCCGTCAAGGCTCACAAACGGCGCCTCCGCCACAGCAAAACAGCAGGGCCCTGAAGGACGGACCGAGCCTCCGGGCAACGGCTCCCACTGCCTAACGTTGCTTTCTCAACCTACAAGAAAACTAGCTCTCTGAGCTGTCTTCCAGCCGCCTGCCTAACGTTGCTTTCTGAATCGACAAGAAAACTAGCTCTCTGACCTGTCTTCCAGCCGCTTGTTGCTTCCTGGCTTCTTGTTTCTTGCTTCTCTGACCTGTCTTCCAGCCGCCTGCCTAACGTTGCTTTCTGAATCGACAAGAAAACTAGCTCTCTGACCTGTCTTCCAGCCGCTTGTTGCTTCCTGGCTTCTTGTTTCTTGCTTCTCTGACCTGTCTTCCAGCCGCTTGTTGCTTCCTGGCTTGTTGTTTCTTGCTTCTCTGACCTGTCTTCCAGCCGCTTGTTGCTTCCTGGCTTCTTGTTTCTTGCTTCTTGCCGCTTGTTGCCTGTAATTGCTTCTTGCTTCTTGCTTCTTCTTTCTTGTTTTTTTGCTTCTTGCCCTTGCTGTTTGTAATGACTTCTCTGACCTGTCTTCCAGCCGCTTGTTGCTTCCTGGCTTCTTGTTTCTTGCTTCTTGCCGCTTGTTGCCTGTAATTGCTTCTTGCTTCTTGCTTCTTCTTTCATGTTTTCTTGCTTCTTGCCCTTGCTGCTTGTAATGACTTCTTGGCCCTTGCTGCTGGTAATTCCTCCTCTGACGCGCTCCCCCTGCTGTCGGCAGGGGTCGGCGGATATATCTTATATCCACTTGATTCCACTTAAAGAACAATTCTTGAACCCGAGGTGGATCAAGTGGTACCCACCAACAACATCACGCAAGAGGTGCTGGAAATGTGGTTTGCAGAACCTCATGCTTCCACCACGCATCACCTGGGGTGAAGGACATGTTCCAAGATTGGGTCGAAACAGCACGGGCTGTTCTGAAACGGATGGACACCGATTCTGAAACGATCTCTGAAACTTTGATTCAACTTCATTCTCATGATTCTCAAGTTTCCCATACGGACAGGTTGCCAACTTCAGAGGTAAACCGAAGGCAGGGGCAGTTCTTCATGTGAGATATGACACCGATCAAAACTCCTTGGTTCCAGGTTGGTGATGAAATTCGATGCATTGCCATTGGGCCATTGGGCCATTGGCATTGATCCATTGGGCCATCACCTGCGCCTATTGAATCCTATTGAATCCTATTGAATCCTATTGGTCAGCCGGTCACAGGCGCAGCTCACCGATTTGGTGCCGGTGAAGGCCAGCAGCACGTGCGTTGCGTGGTGCGTTGCGTGGTGCGTTGCGCCGTTGCACCTGGCAGACCCCACGGTGATTCACATGGAACACATACGAAACACAAAACGAAACACAAAACGAAAACGCGTGTGAGAAACATGTCATGTTAAACATGTGAAAGCTTCAGGAGCTTGAATTGCCATGAATTGCCATTCTGCACCTTAAGCACCAGCTAGATCCAGTTAGATCAAATGAAAGAAGAGAACAAAAGCTTCGGCTTTGGTGTGTACAGTGTACAGCGACATTTCTTTGCAGCAATTTGACAACACATACATGGATACATATATTATTAGAACATTGGTAGATGCTACACTGAAATCGATCAGTGATAGTCCAGATTTGTTGGGTTGTTGAACTTGTTGTTTCACGCATTCCCGAATTCCCTGCGGAGTTGCCATGTGCATTTTTTGTGAGAAGGCCAAGAATGAGCTCAGTGGGCTGACCCCTGAGCAAAAACGTGAGGCAGAGGCTTGCGTGCAATTGCAAGAGCAGCGTGTGCCAGCAACAATTTTGACAGGCTTTCTGGGTGCCGGGAAAACGACTTTTTTGAACTTCGTTTTGAAAAGCCTGGGGCACGGAAAGCGGATTGCTGTAGTGCAGAATGAGTTCGGCAGCGTTCCAATTGATGATCAATTGATGCTGCTGGAAAAAGCTGCCTCTGAGACCATTGTGATGCCGAATGGTTGTCTATGCTGTCGAGTTCGGGGAGACCTGGTTGAAGCCTTGAGGCGTTTGGCCGACTCTCCGAATGCCGGCGCCGATCGAAAAATCGATTCGCTGCTGGTGGAATGTTCAGGCCTCTCAGAAGTGTTACCAGTGGCACAGACCTTCTTTGCTGACCCCTTTGTACAATCAGCCTTCAGACTGGATAGCGTGGTGTGTGTTTGTGATGCCTCAAACTTCGAGAAGTTGGAAGGTGGCTCTGATGGTGGTGTAGGGGCTGCAGGTGAGGATGTGGCCCAATTACTGAGAGAACAGTTAGCCATCAGTGACGTTTGCCTGTTGAACAAGTGCGATTTGATTGACTCATCGCAGCGAGATCAGCTGGCACAGCGGATTCGAAGAGTGAACCCTGCCGCACGGGTGGTGCCATGCCGTCAGGGTAAGGTGAATTTGGGGCAAGTTCTGAAGGTGAACTCCTTTTCTCTGGATGGGGCGATCTCCATAGATGCACACTTCCTTGGGGAAGATGGACATGGCCACAACGGTCACAACGGCCACAACGGCCACAACGGCCACAACGGCCACAACGGCCACAATGGCCACAGAAGTCATGCGCACACTGTCATGAGCAGCCTTGCTTTAGAAAGTGCCAACGGTGTCCGAAGAGATGTGTTGGAAGAGTGGCTGAAGACGGTGGTGGAACGACTTGGGAAGGACTTGATCCGCATGAAGGGCGTGTTAAGAGCTGCTAATGGCAGCTTGGTGGTGCAGGGCGTTGGTGGCCATGTTGAGATCAACGAAGTGGACAGTCTACCGAGTCCCGGTGCTACCGGTTCCACCGGTGGCACGGGTGCCACCAGTGCTGGTGCCACCAGTCGACTAGTCATCATCGGCCGAGTGTCTGATGAAAGTCTTCGAGCGGAGCTTCGAGAGGGCTTCCAGACCATTGCAAAGCTGTGAACACAGCGCGAAGAGAAAAGCGGAGAGCGCATCAACTTGCAGCAGCTTGCAGCACCTAGGGCCCACCCAAAGGGCTAGCCAAAAGGCTACCCAAAGGGCTACCCAAGGGTGTGCAGTAGAGTGATCACCTGGATGTCAGCGGTGAAGTCTCAGTCTCTGCTTTGACAGGTTGTATCAAGATTATCAAGCAATGTGCATCGCTGTGCATCGATGTGCATCGGGTTCGGCTGCTTGTCTTCCCCTTGTACTGAGCAGGTGGTCATTGTGAAGCTTCCAGGCATCATTTGTCCAATGGTCATGTATGTTGCTTGTCAGCATCCCCAAGGCTCACTTTGGAATGTGGGCACAGGGACTTTTGAAGCTAAAGTGGAGAAAGTGGAATACGAAAGTCGATGAAAGTAGGAAAGTGGGAAACATACACCGTGGTTTTCTGGTGCATGAGCAACAGGTTGCAATAAAATGCAACAAAATGCAATAAAATGCAATAAATCCATACACGAAAGAGACGTGTGGACACAGTTCCAACATGTTCCAACGGTTTTGTTTAATGCTTCCAACACCTTCAACTTTTCAACTTGGAAACGTCTCCTGCAGCCGGATCTGACATGAAATGAGCAGCATGACATTCTGTACTCTTAGCTTGACACTCCACATTTTCCACATTTCATATATTTCATCAATTTCATGTTTCGACGTTTTCCATATGTTCCTGGCTCTTTCTATGTGGACTGGTAGGGCTCTTGTCACCTTTGGCATCTTTTGGCTCAGCGCCCGAACACCCTTTGTCTTCAGCGTCTTCGTCGAACGATGGTCGAAGTTCGCCCTGTGGAGGTTGCTGAGTTTCGTGCCACAGAGGAGCTCATCCGAGAGGACGAAAAGGGACGAAACGGGTGGATTCGTGTGGAAAACCTGATGGAAAACCATGGAAAAACCCATGGAAAGATAATGAAAGATATGGGAAGGTCAGATCAACGCGGATCAAAATGGAAAGATGTTATTGGGTAGCAAACTCTTTTCTTTTCAAGGAAGAGGATCTCAAACTCAGAAAATTACCCATTCTATTCTAATCTAATCTTATATGGGGTCAAGACGGTGAAACTCCTTTTTGAAAGACTTGAAAGGTCCCCTAATCATTGCATGCACAACAACAGTCTCAGTGCCTGTCCTGATCCACTCTGATTCTTCCATTGGTCCATCTCTGTCCCAAACGCTGTCCGTGGAGGCCTTCTGGAACCATTTTCAGCCGGGGGCCGACGAGCACTTCATCGCGCACAACCTGCGAAAAGGCACGGACTACGTGCCCGAGCTTGACCTCGTTGCAGTGTTGGAAGGTAAATTGGTGGGCAGCATCGTGTACTCCAAATCCAAGATTGACACCAATGATGGTCGGAGCTTCACAGATGTGGTGACTTTTGGCCCTTTGGGTGTTCTCCCAGAGTATCGAAATCGTGGTATTGCTGCCAAATTGATACAGGAATCCTTGCGCCTGGCGAAGGAAATGGGTTTCCGTGCCGTGATTATTCAAGGAGATCCCCGATTTTATGGTCGCCTGGGCTTCCGCTGCGGTGAGAAATATGACTTGACCAATGTAGAAAAACAATTCTGTGTCGGCCTCATGGCATATCAGCTGTTTGAAGGAGCCCTGGATGGAGCTGGAGGATGTTTCTCTGAATCGGAATCCTTCGGTTTTGCCGAAGAGGCTTTGGCAGAGTTTGATACATCCTTTCCCCCAAAGGAGAAAGGCGAATCGGCCTTCCAAAGTGAGTTTGCCGTGCTGCTGTCGCTCTGCTATGCGAAGGATCCCAAGTACACAAGCTGAAACTAATCGAAGATCAGCCAATCTTTGGCCATAGCTGAGACATAGCTGTGACTTTTCTCACCATGCAGCGTCTATGCAAATTCAATGCAAGGCTGCTCTTGCTCTTTGCGCGCAGAGCTGTACAGTTTCTTTCTGCAGTTCTACTAGAAAAAGATTTGGATCCAGTGCTGTTCAACACAACTGCATACATTTGGACCTTGATATCGCTATCAGATTTATCAATGTTGATCACACTTCATCCTTAGGCACATGATCGTTTTCCTTATTCAATATGATTCAATCATTTTCTTTTTTTGTTAAAGTCAGTTCACAGCTGATGAACCGCCCGACTTCATCCAATTTCGGGTTTGTCGAAAAAGCGAACTGGCCGCGCCGAAGTGAACTGAGGTTTTGAGCAGCATCACCGACCGACACATCTTCACGAAGATCGGCGTCCGAGTTTGCGGCCTAGAAAGATCAACGCAGGGTACCTGTGAAGATCTGTGAAGATCCGTGAAGATACCTCGAAATTGACGGATTTTGGGATGTATTTTGGCTTATTCGAGTGTCCGAACATTCAAAATGGATAGTCTTGGCAGTCTTGACTGGTAACCTGTAACCAGGGCTGACCAACTGCAGCGATTGCAAACGCACAAAAACATCCTGCGCTGAGAAACCTAAGAGAAGAGAGCAGCATAGAGATGCATAGAGCAGGTCTTGGCAAACCTACATCCCTTCACATGTTTAATATGTCAAATGTGTATTTAAAGGCTTACGCCTGACAGCCGGGCGCCGGCCAAGCAATCTTGGCACCATGTTGGCCCTATGTTGGGCCTATGTTGGCCCATGTTGAGCCCTCTTGAGAGCTATGTTGGGGCCATGTTTGGGCCATCTATGTTGAAACGATCTTAAGATGCCAATTATTCCGCCCCGGGCCCCCTCCTGGAGCCCAAAACCATGTAAAAACCGAGGTTTTGTAACATTGCCAAGAGGAAATCCCTTGCCGCCGAAGGGCCCGAAACACCGTAAAAAACGATGTTTTCTAACATCGCAAGCACAAGACACCGTAAATTACGTAGGCTTCAGTCGACTGGGAGTGGGTCGGCGGCATGGGGCGCAGCGCCTATAACCTTCGGTTACCACCGAAGGCCTCCGGCAAGGACACGGGGCCGTGGCCGGCGCCCGGATTTAAAGGCTTACGCCTGACAGTCGGGCGCCGGCCAAGCAACGACGTTTGGCGCATGGTGTGGGAAGATTGGGCCGAGATTCTCCGCGCAAACCCAGGGAGGGCTATGTTAAGAACTGAGGCAGGCATAATGCGCAGTGCTTGCCTGCATGGAAGCAGTCTGGGCCTATGTTGAACGCAGGGTGTGCCCATGTTGGGCCAAGTAGGGACCATGTTGAGCCATCTTGGGCCCATCTTGGGCTTATGTTGGGCCAAGTCGGGCCTAGCTTTGCAGCCTTCAAGCTTCTGGAGCGTTGCTTCCGTTTTTCATCCGTCGTGGCACCCTCTTTCTTGCCCATTTGGCATTGCTTCTCAGGCGCGCTCCCCCTTGGTTCCCTGGAGTCGGCGGATATACACAATTCAAATTCTACGTTTGATCTGCCTGAGGCCATCGTGGAATATGTGTGGAAGAATCTTGTGCCTGAGCTCTGTGAAATCACATATTTCTTCCGGTTAGGTCACGATGGTCAATAGTTGGGGAAATTTGGAAAATCATGTTTAGTGCCACCGCGCATTACTCTCTGACACCATCTGACACCATTCAAGGTCCGCTACCAGTACTACAACAAGACATTTCAACGATTCATCGTCATCGTTTTGCAACCCAGCGGCACTTTAGCATCGAAAAGCATGTGTGGTTTGTATCTCAATATGCACTTGCATTTGCCAAGAAAATTCCACTGTGAAATATGGAGTTCAAATGAGATAAACAGATGCGGATAAGCAAGACAGATTATGGACTATTCGGTGTCATTTCCCTGAGTCTCTTCCATAGCTTTTGTCGGGCTTTGCTTTCAAGTGATTAACACGGCCGTGTCCAACTGAACAACCATGCAGATTCTTTGAAGAGGCTCAGCCCCCAAGAGATTCAACACACACATATATATATACAATATACAATATATATACAATATATATATATATCCAATTTTTTTTATATATATATAAATATACAATATATATAAATATATACAATATATATATATATATTTACAATATATATATATATATTTACACTATATATATAAAACAATTTACATTTATACAGTATGTCTATATATATATATTACATATATAATGAAATATATCATATTATATAATATATATATACAAAATTAAATAAAATATATAAATAAATAAATGAATATATATATATTCAATATATAATGTACATATAAGAATGAATATATATATATATACATATTTAATAGAATATAGATTTCATATAATACAATAAGATATAATACAATATAATATGATATAGTACAATATAATATGATATAATATAATATAATATCATAGAATATAAAAAATATAATATTCAATATAATTTAACAAAAATTATCAAATAAAATTAAATAAAACAACATATAATATAATATAATATGATATAATATAATATAATATAATATATAATTTAGTTGTAGCATATGTTGATGAAACATGTTTGAAAATTGTGTAAAAAATTGTTTTTTCCGATCAAAGGTGCGATCTCCGACTGTTTCCAACTATTTCCCCTTGGATACCTTTGGACCTTCAAAAAAAAGCTGCGTTGCGCGGCATCGCTTATTTTTTAAAAAATGTGGGTTGGACAAATTTTGGCCTGATCATGTTTCCGACTGTTTCCAAATGTTTCTGACCGTTTCCGACCGTTTCCATTTTTCTGAACGGTTAATTGGGCCAATTCCGTGTATGGAAGGCTGATCCAGTGCAAACCCATGCAAATCATGACGCTGATTTTTTTTCGTGTGACCTTTGTGCGCGTACACTGCACCAAATATTGCATCTTGACCTTGATATCCACTATTCCCTAAAACTCCCAAAATCCCAGGAACTCGTGAAATTTGGTGTATATATATATATATATATACATATTTTGTGTGTGTGCGTGTGCGTGTGTTCCTAATATTAGAGCTGAACTTTGAAATGTCTTCAAACGGAGAAATGAAAGGAAACGGGTGAAAAAAATTCTGCAAAATCCCGCGACCAAGGTTGTTCTGCTTCGTGAGCCTTTGGATCCCTGAAGATCCAGAGACTTGGTTGATATCTGCTGGTCGATTCATGGAAGTCAACCGACAATATAAGGCTTTCAAATGCTTCCAACATTTTCAAGACAATAAAAGGATCCTCAAACCCTTTCGTAGCGGGCTGATCAACCAATGACCCTTTGACATCCTTTGACCATAGTGTGGCCTGCACCTGTCACCAAGGATTCCTTGGCGAGAAGAGGTGCCATGACGGGAGACTTGAAGCCTTGCCTGCACAGTTCCTCACAATACCAGCGGTCTCGAAACTTTCTGTTCTCCAACTCCGTTTCTGAAACACTTAACCATGATGGTAGCCATGCAGATCATGCCGTGTGGGGAACCATGTTTTGAGCCGGGCCTTTGTCGTCACCAGGCTGCTGGAGTCTGATTGCGGCACAAGTCTACCATGAACTTTCTTACGAGGCCCAGAGCGTACCTATCAGTACCAAAGGCAAACGGAGTGAATCCAGGCACCGACTTCACTTGTGAATCAAATACCTAGCTTGAACTTCGCAAAGGATGTTTGCTGCACAGGACCCACCCTCAATTATTGTCAATACATGGATCAAGGATGAGGCAAATGATCATATTCCTTCACATCCTTTATCCTCTCACTAGCGCTTTCAGCCTGTCAGCCTGCCTTTCTTTCACCTCTCTTTCCTGGCGCTCAGATCTTCGAAGCGCTTGGCCATTGCTTTGTGCTGTCACTTGGCACATCCAGTGGCCATTGTGGGCCATTGTGGGCCATTGTGGGCCATTGTGGGCCATTGTGGGCCATGCTGGCTATTCTCAAGGGATTCCCCCAAAAATTCCAAAAGGGTTTCTGCTGAGGAAACTTCCTGAGGCCTACTTCTACAAGACACCTGGCTGCAGATTCCATGATTTCCACATGATTTCCATGATTTCCTTCTGCTTCGGGTCCATTGCTTTGAATGGCGTTGAATGATCTGGATCTTCGTGGATCTGATTTCATGCCCAGGTTCAAAAACATTTGTGACTACGGTTCGGCAGTGCCTTGGTTTCAGAAGTTTCCCAGAAATTTCTTGAGGGGAAACACGGATCAAGGGAAGAACTAGGGAAGAACTTCATGTCTGCAGCACCATTTGAAGGTTTTTGATCAGAGTCACAATGATTTGGACATTATCCAGATGTGCTGCCTTGATGTGCAAGATGTTCTAAGACCAGTGTCCCTTTAGGCCTTGGGATGCGCTGTGATGCATTTGAGCCTGGGCAGCACCCACGGCTTCGGGAAGTTTGGTTCACCAGGTCTCGTTTGAATTTCTTATCTCAAGAAGTATCCTTTGAAGGCCTACAGGATCATGTTTTGGGCCGAAGGATGGGAACATGGCTCGCAGCTCTGTCTTGGCACCACAACTTAGGAGTCAGCACAATTTGCACATTGAGAGCTTGCCAGTTTTGCTTGCGGTCACTGCAGCTTGGCTTTGAAACAGAAGAGTTCACGGTCTGATCATTTCAATTCATTTCACATTATGCTCAAATCAGTCTTGACCCGTTTATTTTACCGCAAACTTTGCGATGTTCTCCTTGATTTTGTTGGTTTGGTGTTTGGTCTCTGTTTTCTTCATGTTCTTTCCCTGAGAGTTTAGCTAGAGGTTTTCCTTACAGGACAGATACCGTCTTACTATGTCTTACCGGGGTTTGGTGTTGGGCCTATGGGCCCGCCGAATCTGAGCGGAGGTCATGGGTCGTTGGGTTATGTTCACCTGGACATGTCGAGCTTTCGCATGGGCCGGCGAGAAAATCCTCCCAGTTTTGCAGGCCTGGAATGGTTTGGAACGTCTTGGAACGTCTTGGAACCTTTTCTCTCTCAGTTTTCAGGATTTGGGTTGGATGATGTGAGATGTCTTAGAATTTTCTACAGAATTTCATTGGGCGTGTCAGCTTATATCAGTTTTATTCTTGTTTCCTAGTTTTTTCTTTCCCTGGTACCGACAGCTGGTCAAGCATGGTGGCTTTGCATGATTCTAGAACCTAAACTCCGCCAGTACCACAACTAGTCATTCACCATCCATCGTAATCACCATGCACCATCATGCACCCATGGTTCTCAGCTTCTCTTGATATCCACCATGGAGGCCTCTTGCGTGCCGATGGGAGGCCAGGATCGTCAAATTATGTCTTCACATTTTGATGCAGGCACCATCTTGTTCAACAGATCAGTGGAACACGCGAAATCCCACAAAAAAAGACATGGGCATAGCCACCAGGTATACTGCTGGTCACTGGTCTGATCTTTGCTGGCTTTTGGCATGCCTTTGCGGCCTTGACATTGGCAGAGAAGAGCCAAGATCAGTTCAATGCGCCTTGAATGACGTGGATGTCTATTTTGAAGGTGTTTCGGAGTGTCACCGCAACTAAGACAGCGCCTTTGCAACTCCAAAAAAAGGACAGGATACATCAGGCTTGGGATTGCAACTAACAGCTGACAGAATGATGGAACTCTGATGATAATGCATGGGCAATGTATGGAATCTATAGTATTCTATAGTACATCTATAGTACGATGGTGTGTTGTACAAGTGTTACATGCAATCTCCCAGCATCTCCCAGCTTTGGTTCGGCGTTCGGCCTCGGCTGAGGTCCTGCTGGCGACGCTGCGCTTCTTGGTGCTGGGCGACGGGGACGGTGCAGGCGTCATCATCGGACTCTACAACAACGACGAGGCGAGCCACCGAAAAAAACTACGGTGTTGATGAAAATGTTGATGAAACTGGACAACTGTGTAGATCAATATGTATCTCTTCTATTTCTTCACAGTTTGCCAGTTGCTTCACATTTGCTTCGCAGTTTCCTTCCCTTTGCGGATCGCACGTGTCATTTCGTGAGACTTGCAAAGCATTCTGAGGGTCACAATCCACGATGAGATTTCTGTAATATTTCTGTTGGGTGTCGGTGTGGACGGATGGTGATCCCACTTTGCCAACGTTGCATATCTTTGCATGATTTTCAGGAGCTCGGATCACCAATCACTTTCGTCCTTTTCTCCCTGGCTGAACCTCGGCAGAAGTGGCAGGACAAGACACTTGTGTCACTTGTGTCACTTGTGCATGACACATATGACACTCACGACACACCAGAGAATCTCTGAGAACCCCACAAGTGTGAGGTGGTGCAAACTACACTGGACACAAGATCTTCATCATTCTTCATCCCTTGGACCATGTAGAGTTCCCCAATGAACTATGTAGCATGAGATGATAGCCGATGGTTGCAGAAGGTCGCAGAAGAAGAGGTTTGACTGTAGTGCTTTTGCAGGATTTCGGCCAACACGGTTTGATGTACCTCCTGGTTTCCACTCCCGCTGCGTCTTAGTGCAGTGCAAGTAGTGCCTGAGTTGAGGTCATCGCTTTCTGCATTTGTTTGCTCAATCTCTTCATTGCGGTTCACAGTGTGCGCTTCCTCAGCGATCGGTGTCGAAGCACGGATACTGTACGAAGCATGTTGACAAGAACGAGTTCACGAGTTCACCACGAGAAGAGTCTACGATTTCAGACACCATGATCTTAGCTGACACAAGTTTTGCCCGGTTCCCCAGGAAGCCTACGATAAGGCACAAGAAACCGCTCACATCTCGTTCTTGCAGGAGCGGGTTCGCCACAAGATGGCAATCATGGAGCAGTCTGTTTGGATCAGTGTTTCTGTGTAGAATCGATATGTTTCCAGGATCCTACAATTGCCCAAATATTGCCCAAATATTGTCCAGAATCTCTTGTCTTCTCAGATGGGTGCCCCATGCCAGGAGAGAGCTGCGATTTGCTTGAATTGCTTGCTGATGCCAAGTTGGCCACCAGCAGGTGGAGCGCCAGTGGAGCGCATGTTGTGAGACTCTGCAAGATCGGCAAGATGTTTCTGTTTGTCTCTTGCGTTTGTAGCTGGTTGGAACATGTTGTGAAGATGTTGTGAAGATGTTGTGAACATGTTGTTGTTGGCTGTCGCACATTTGTTGCAGGTTGCTGCAAGGTTCAGCATCCCCGCAGAGTCTGTTGTTGCATCTACGTTGGGATCTGAATTGGGTCTGAAAGCGGATCTGATAGCTGCATTGCATGACATATGCATGACATATGCATGACATATGCATGACATATGCATGACATATGCATGTCATTTCATGGCTCTTTGATAATGGCTGACTGCACAGAATTGCGGGGTTCGGTTCTAAGGTCCTGTCCCTCATCGCGCACCTTGGCTGATTCTTCTGGGGCCATATCATGGTCTACCAGAGAGACAGAGAGAGAGAGATAGAGAAACAATTTTTTCTGCTAGTTTGTAGATGTTTGCAGCACTATTTTTTAGAATTTCTGTATTCATTGGTGCGAATTACTAATGCAACCTAATCTAATCTCTGTCCATTCCTATTCTCTAATCTCCACATCTTCCCGTCCACGCAGATGCGATACAGACGTCATGTCGTGTCGCTGCATTTGCAGGTGGGCGGTGCTGATCTCGTATCGACAGCTGCATCCGTGGGTCGCCAGCTTCACCCTTCTTGGAGGAGCTATTGGAATCTATTGGAAACAGCTAGAGAAACAACATGAAACAACCATAAACAGCTATAGAAATCTATAGAAACTAAATGCATTTGTTCAATGTCACAGGGGATTGTTTGATTTGTATTGACTTGTTGGAAAGTTTCAGGGGAAGATTGATGCAGATTGACATCAGTCGATCAGATCGATCAGGTCATTTTTTGACGCTTCGACTGGTGAGGAAGTTTGCTGGCCGACTCCGTGCTGCTGCAGCTGCCGTGGAGCAAAGAGGAGAGCGCCGAGTGTCCCGAGTGTCGAGCGCGTTATGCGTTTGTAGCAGGTGGAACAGGTGGAACAGGTGGAACAGGTGGAACAGGTGGAACAGGTGGAACAGGATAGTCTGGAACAGTCTGAAACATGTCGTATGTCGATGTCGTATGGTTTCTGGGGTGTTTCAAACCCTCAGATAGGCCCAGATAATCCCAGACAGGGATCAGGAAGCATCAAGCAGAGAAAGATATATGGACAGCAAAGCGATTTCAGCCAATGATGCCGAAATGCGAATTATTTTTAGCCATGCGAACCTGCTCCCAGTCAGGTCTTGCTACTCGGGACTCTACCATTCAGATTTGGCATTCCTTTGCTTTGAGATGGGACACTGAGTGAGTTTCACCATGAAGGATTCCCAGAAGTACTACTTCTGGATCTGCCACCGCGATGCCGCTTGACGATGGGCGTCCAGTAGGCTGCATCGAGAGAACAGAGTATGAATGGAGTATGATAGACTTTCTAGGCGAGGGAAGTGAAAACAACATCCAGCAAGAATCCCCAGTGGTTCCGTTTGGTCCACAAGCATGAAGGAATTTAAAACTTGCCTGCCCCGGCAGAGTTTCCGAAAACATCTCAGGATTTTGACGAGAAATTCTCTGCGTGTCCTGAAGACAGCCTGACCCTTAGCTGGCCTGATTGATATTCCAGCATTGGCATCAATCGGATATTCATTGATTCACCGATTCAGATTCGTTCACTGTCATGGATTTTCACGTCGTCATTCAGTGATTCATTTCAGTCATATTTTATGCCACTTCGTCTATATAGTGCTTCCTTTCTCCACTTCCTCTCCCTCAGAGAATCCAACAGAGGCATCTCAAGCCTCAGTAGACTGCAGAAATTTACACCAGCAAGATGACCTTTGTTGAGAAAGCATGAAAAGAACGAAACATCTCACACGACGTGCTCGCATTTTCTCACCGATGTCGCGATTTTCTGAGCATCTTGCGGGTGGAACGGGTGGAAACAGCAAGAAACAGAGAACTGTTGATATATCGATTGTAATATACATAACTATATATATATATAATATATACACACACGATTACACACGTATTCCTATTCTTTTAAATAAATCGTTTGTGGGTAAGGAGATGGAACATGTTGTGGAACATGTTGAACGCGGTCTCCTCAAATTCCAGGCGATCTTCCCGGTCGACTGAGCTCGGTGCGACAGAATGCGGTCACGCAAAATGCAAGGCGGACTGGGCAAAACAGCCAGATTTGGCGCATTTTTCTAACTTGTTCGAAAACTATTTCATTTTAAACAAGTTTACTTTGGTGAATTGGGCTTTTGTACTTAGGCCACCTGGCCCCTTTGGGGCCAGGTGGCCTACCTATTTTGTTTAATGATATTTTGATATTCTGTGACTTCCCGACCCGATGTAATGCGAAATGATGGGAATACGGATGGCATTGCAATTGTTCTTTGGTGTATGTTGGCGCCATGACATCCAATATTTGTAGCATGTATTTATTGATCTGCTGCTACGAATTGATCGAACTTCCGTTCCTTTCCTTTCTTGTTTTGACTCTGCAAGATCAAAAACATTAGGGAGCGGCCTTGGATTCGAATGCCTGCAAAGGGCAACCATCAAAAACCATGGTTTGCTTTTACATGTTCTTGTAATGAACATTACTGAACAATATGATATACATTATGTATAATTTATAATTATAAATTGACACACCCACTGCTCTACCCACTACCTTCGGGTCACACAGCGCCAGGGTGACTGATCACCTCCGCAACTTGAAGGGGAAAACGCAACATCGGCATCAGAGCGGCTCAGTTCAGATACAAAGGATGACAAGTCATGACAAGTCATGACGAGTCATGATTAGTCTGAAGTCCGGAAGTTGCACGGAACATTTGTTGTGTCTCTGTGAATCTGTACAGTCACAGCCTTTCAGAATCTTTCAGATTTGCCTGCTCTGATTTGAATTGAAACAGAAGACGATGCTGCTGGGGCAAAGAAAACCACATCAATTTTCATTCTCGAACTTCCCAAAGGTTGACTTTTCGCACTCCTGACATGACATGGAAAACTAAGATCTTGAAATGCACTTGAGTGCTCTGGATCAGCGGCTGCGGGGCATGGAAGTCTATCTGGAGCATGCCAGTGCTGCAGGGACCCTGAGGATGATTCCTGGTAGCTTTCGATCGACCTTTCAATCGACGTCACTTTGTGTTGTCCAATGGATCTGCAACTTTGGGGAAAAAGACTCAACCGACTCCATAGCTTTTCCATTGAGGTGTTGTCTCGCGTTGTACCTCCAGTTTTAGAGTGAGGCGGTGCTGGACCGCCACCAAGATTACTTGATGCTGAAGCCACGGCCTTTCAGAAATTGCCATGCAAACTTGGCGATCCAAGATGTAAGTTGACCACTGGAAAGGATCTTTGGGATGGCAGTTGCTAACAGATGCTAACAGGAGAGATTGGAGGGAGCAGTTTCGATCAATTTAGGATCTTTAGGTCTGTTCAGCCGTCTGTTAAGATTGGCTTTCGGTGATGGCATTCGCAGGTTTACAAAAGGAGCCATGAGATGCCATGCCGCACCCGCCTGGTGTCTGGCAGAATTTTTAAGTTGTCTGAAGACACGGCAGCGTCTCACCTTGAGCGACCAGCGCCCACGGAGTTCGAGATTGGACAAGAGATGATGGGAACAATTTTGATGTTTTTGGAATGTTTAGAGATGTTCAGGGTGTTTACAGATCCATGTCAAATGAGAGCATGCTTCATGTTATCATGGTATTTGACTAACTTGTGCACTCTTGTGCTATTCCAATCCCGGTGCCGTCAGGGGAAGTTCTTGATGCAGTTTGCATCAGAACCAGCTGCCAAAGCGCGGCAAATGTAAGATCTTTTAATTCAAGTGCCAACCAAAATCGGACGGCGCTTTTCGCTTGGCAAAGCGACAGTTAACGAATTTTGGATCCCCTTTGGTGACCAATTTGACCGTCGGGTCGTGGTGGCAATGTGAAAGCTGCAGACATTGGGTGACTGGGAAACCTGTTTTGGAGGAACGCATTCCCTGTCCACATTTTATACATGTTATATTACGAGTTGTAGGTTTTATATGGTTTTATGCGTTGGTTTTATTATGAATTATTGATTTTGCTGTATCAGAATATATCCGAATTGTATCACAAGGCTGCGCGAGCCAGGGCCATCTCCAAAGGCGCGATGTGAAGCCGGGCCGTGGCAACCTGGCAACCTGGCAACGTGGCAACGTGGCAACGTGGCGCCAGGTGGAAATGCTGTGAAGGCGATGACCAGTGCAGTGGTTCAGGCAAGAGAAGATGAAGAGGACTCTGAAGAATCTGTTCATTTCTGTTTTTAAATTGTGTTTCAAACCTGTTTCAAACCAGCTTAGTTTACAGCAGAAAAGATTCCATAGAGTCCATATTGATGTTGAAAGGAATACATGTCAATTGTTTGTAAATACATTCAACTGAGATGCTGTTATTGTTTGATATTGTTGGACATTGGTTTAGTCACATCAGATGTCAGTTTTTTTCCACTTCTTCCACTTCCTGGTCGCAGGATCTGGATAGCTTCCTGGCTGGTGGAAGGAAGATGGCCGTCCAAGCGGCCAAGGCGCGGCCGACTGCTCTGATGGCCGAAATGGATGACAAGATAATATGACAAGATATGACAAGAATAAGATTCAGTCTTTGCTCTGCGAATCTTGCGAATCTCGAGATTGACCGAGACTGACAAAAGATATAGATCTCACAAAAGATTTCTTACATTTTATGTATTTCAGTTGCCAATATTTCAAAGTTCTTTTCCTCCAAATGCGGGCTTCACTTGGCTCTTGCGCAGGAAATGTGTTTCGTTTCTCTTTCTCCGCGGATGGTGCACGCTGCACTTTTCTACCGTCAGGTGATGGAGGATAAGAGAAAGAAGCTCGTCATCGAACAGGCCAGGAAATTGCTCCGTGTCATCGTATGGTGGATGCTCAACCGTTGGGACTCAGATGAGTCCGGGAAAAACAGGGAAAAAACAGTGGGACTTAGATCAATTGATATCAATTGGAAGTGCACTTGCCTTGAGGCTAGCCAAGAGAACTTGCAAAAATCTGTGCTGCCCTGAGAAGATTTGGAGGGCAAGCAGGTAGGGGGTGCTAGAGAAAGCCAAAGATGGGTGTGAGAACAGCGGGAATTTGCACGTTGAAATGCAAAGAACAACATCAGATTGTCTTGAGATTGTAAAGCATCTCAGCCCCTGTCTGCTTATGTCGGCTTTGCTGATCCTTGTCCTTGCGGTGTACTTGCCACATTGGCCAAGGCCGACGCAGCCCGACGCGCTGAAGCAGAGCGTCAGGCCCAAGAGCGTAAGGAGGCACGTTTTTGGATGGCCACCAGTCGTCAGCAGTCGCCTGGCATGGAGTGGATCGTGTCCATCCCTGGGCATGGCAGATCTGGTGTCAGGCAGAAGCACGGCAGCGCCAAGAAGATGAACGACGGAAGCGGGAGTGGCTCTGGCCGTTTCTGATATTTTCTGGGATCTTCTGGGGGTGTTTGGAAGTTTAGGGTGCCAAGAGGTTGTGCCATCTGTGAGTCATCTATGTTACTTCACATGTTCCATGGTGTCCATTTCACATGGCATCATAGCCAGGCATCACTAGGACATAGTACGGACATGGTGCGCGCTCCCGCAGCTGTTCACACTTGCGGTAATGCAGAACCTGCTTTACTACTCTACTAGCGAGAAGCTGAGATTGTCACTGATGAGGAATGATGAGAACTTGATCATTGTTGATTTTAATTGTGCCAAGGCCATGGCAAAGATTCCAGAATACAAAGATGATTTCTTTGAAGGCACTTCTGGGAAGGGTGACCAAATCAGGTGGAAAAAAATGGAATGATTGGAACGTGGAGCACAACTCAACACAAGAATAGTATACCTAGCCTAGTATAGAATGTATAGAATACTTAAAGTTCAGTAGGTAAATACGTTCTGTCGCAAATTGCAAAGACCTGGTATGACGATACCATGAAGTGCCAGGGGTCATGACGCGACTTCTTTGCTGAAAGGACCATTGTTTTCATGGGGAAACCACTACTGATCAGGTGAGCCCGGGCTGCTGGGAGTCTTCGATTACGAATACGAGGCCAAGCGGCGCAACGTGGGGCGACAAGGGGCGACGAGGGGCGACGAGTTTGATCCGCTCGCTTCCAGCGCTTTCAGGAGATCATTGGTTTCTACAAAAAATTGAGATGGGCTCAGTTCATCTTCATCCCACCAGCCTGGCTCTCCTCTATTTGGTGCCTTGGCTTCACAAAAGAATCGATATATTAATAATTATTGTAACATCACCAGTGAGTCGTGAATTTGGCATTTTCCCAACATTTGGCAACCAAAATGCGTGTGCTATCACGCGCTTGTATGATCCAGCATGTACTGTATCTATTTGTATCAGTATTTGCTGTAGCATGATGTAATGACCTCCCGCAGCCTGTTATATGCCCCTGTCATCACAGAGCGATTTAATCCGAAATGTGCTCGTACTCTGTGAGAGATTTGACCTTTGGGTTTCACTGCCGAAATGGGAAGTTAACAAAGTTAATCGGGCATCCAAAGTCTCAAGCAGAATCACGAGTATCACAGAGTGTCACAGTGTGTCACAGTGCGTCACAGAGTGGCAGATGGAGCTTTCGCAGCACCATCAATCCGCTGTGATGATGTGTGTGTTTTCGTTGAAGTTTCGGAAGTTTGATCGTTTTTTCTGATTGCACGTGCCGAGTTGCACTCCCTGTTTCCTGAACCAGAACATCGAGTGGGATACCCGATCCCGTCACCTTGCGCTCACTGTTGACGGCATCAAGTTCGTGTGCGAAGCTGAGCGTGAGGTGTTGCCCTTTTTTGGAACGGGCTACCCACATTGTTCAGTCGTTGGTGTGATGGCTCAATGCGGGTAGCCAGGGACGTCGGACTGAGGCATGCGCGCCGGCCGACCCTCTGCGGCTTATCATTCACAGACAAGGGGAAGGAGGCGAAGACAGCAACTTGGAAGTCAGTTGAGATGAGACTGCAAGATCTACAAGGAATCAAGAAGTATGCTTATGATATTGCTTCATTATGATTCATATGATTGCCTATGTGCTTTTCCATTTGCGAATCAGAAACTGAGACGAATGCAGTGAATTTCCATCGTATTTTCCCATGTTCGCTGAGGTCCCTTACGATAAAATCACTGACTGTGACGTGCAGGAGACACTGACAGTATCTGTCGCTATCCCAAGTCCAGAAATTCCCAAGCTTTGTCAAAACTGCATTCATTTGCCACAAAGCTGTCATTTCGGACTACAAAACTCGAGGATGTCCCAGGTGATCGCAGGTGATCGCAGGTCGCAGCTGAATCTTTGCCCGAGATTTGTGAAGATCTTCAGACCCTTCAGGAGCCTGCAGGTACAGCGTGCTGCTGTTTCATTGAAAATGTCCTCCACAAGGTGCACAGACAATTCTCATGGCTCCACATGAAAAGACCACAAGTATCCACAAGTATCCACAAGTATCCACAAGTGGCTGCACTCGTGGACTTCGTGGCCTGGTAGGTCACGGTGGACACTGCAAGTAGCGGCCGCCCGACAGAATTTGAAACTCTTGAACAGACTTGAACAGACTTGAACAGACTGAAGAAACTCTTGAACATGGCAACATGGCATCTGTTTTGACATGTTTTGACTCGCATTTGGCCAGCGATAGAAAAACGATGGTCATAGTGAGGTCAAACACGACAGGATGATACAGGATGCAGAAAGTTCCTGTCCCAGGCATGAGCAAGGATGGTATGGAAAAGCACGAGCTGGAGATCATTGGACTGAAGCATCCACATGAGCAGCTCAGCGCAGTTCGGTTAGATCTGTTAGATCATCACTTATTTCATTCCTTCACAGATGACTCATGTGAACGTGGTGTTTTTTTTCTTCCTTTTGAGCCTCACAGTTTTGCACTCTGCGGACCAAGACTATTTGTTGGGTTTCCTTAAAACGTTTCTATCAACTTCTACCTAGCTGTTCCTGGCTGTTCATAGCTGTTTGATCTTGTGTAATAACTTGTAATAACTTTTCACCATGGCAACAGGTTCAAACAAGCCGTTTGGAGCATCAAGCGTCGAGCGCCCAGGGATGACATGTAGCGCTGCGGCCCGAGAACTCCCAAGTCCGTCTAAGTCCGTCTAAGTCCGTCTAAGTCTGTCCAAGGCCCCTAAGTCGCCCTAAATCATCCAAGATCACCCAAGTCATCCAAGCCCCGAGGTGGAGAGCTACCCAAAGGTGCTATGCTGAGCGAGCTCCCCAAGCAACAACACATGGTTCCAGAGAAGGCTTCTGCGTGGGGTGCTCAGGATTGCTTAGGATGGCTCAGGTGCACAGACACGATGCCTGTGGTTTGCAGGACTATCAATTATTTTCGACCTTGCTGACTTGTTGTGCCGGAGATCAGACATGGCTCGTATTTGGCCCTTTTATATCCTTTTATTGCCTTTGTATCTTTTTGATATCTTTTGATATTTTTTGATATCTTTTGATAGGGTCTCTGGACACCAAGTAGCTGAGGGACTTGACGACACCCTTGCTCACGGACATTCGCGACGAACTGCGGAAGATGAACTCACTCATGGCTGCCAAGTCACTCGGACACTAAGAGTGTGTGACTGGCAGAATCTGGCAGAATTTCCAAAGATTCAGACTGATTCCAAGCAAAACAAGTTGGTCGCCCGAGAGCTTTTTGGACGGAGGATCGTGCTGCAAGGATGAGCAAAGGGTTGCACAGGTTGACAGTTTTACCATGGTTTATACTGCTATGTTTTACTGGGAAATACAGAGACAGACCCACAGCCATTTATCAAACACTGGGCAAGTCATGGCAAGTGGACCTGAAGCAATCTTCAGGTACGGAGCGGCAGTGTGAGACCGATGGCTTTATTTGTACGATGAGTGCGATCTGCATTGATCTGTGAATACAGTATGATACACCATCGTATTTATTTGGCCAAGTAAGTACCACTTAGAACATCTTCATCGCTACTTTCTGTGTGCTCCGAGAGCTGTTTTCATTCCAAGTATTTCTTGTTCTGGACAGCGCCATGATGTGTTTCCGCTGATTTGACCTCTGCAGCAATCTGTGTCCGGACGCCACGCGTTTGCGAAAGCGCGGACCTGTGACCGAACTCCATAAGCGCCACGGTAAGATGCCCCGCATCCCTGGCAGATGAAGCTTAGAGCCAAGTTGCTCTGATCTTGTTGAGATCAACTTTAGATCGCAGCAAAAAGTTAGATGTTGCAGTGGGGAAGATCTGTGCAAAAGCTCTGTCCAAAGCAAGTGCTGCACCAACGAGACTCTGCTGTGATGTTCATGCCAGGGAAGAGCGCCAAAGAGAAGAAGAAAAACAAGAGGCAACCGGGTGCAGCTGATGGCAGCTGGTGGCAGGACATCCCCAAAAGATCCCCAAAAGATCAAGGATTCGGATGGCCGCGTCGAAGAACACTGAAGAATTGAGTACTGCAGTTGCAGGAGAGAAGAAGAAGAAAAGAGGAAGAGAAACGGAGAAAGAGGGAGGAAAAGGCTGAACTCGGCTGCTTGAATTTGAAGCCATGAATATGTCAGCTTCTGGTACTTGATGAGCTGTTCCTGCACGTTATCCCTGGCGAGTTGAAATCATAATATTCCTGACATCTCTTGGTTAGGAGAAGAGCAAGGCTGGGGGTTGGGAAGGGAAGCTACAAAAAAGTGACGTTTGGACAAAAAGGATGAGAACAGATGGGAAAAATATGGAAACATAACATGGAATATACAAAACATAACATACTTCATATGAAATTTATTGAAATATCATATTATACGAAACAAACATATGAAACATCTGGGTGCATTCCACGTAGCCATCGCATTGATGCAGGACTCCGAAGAAGTCCAGAACTCAGCTACTCCGCTACGCTGCGACGCCATGCAGAGATCGGCGATGTGATTGACACAAGGGGAGCCATGTTGAACCATGCTGAACCAATCTGAGGCAGAGGCGGACAGGACTGGGGCCTTGATGATGATCGAATTACTATGAATTACTATTGCGACTATAAATCGAATTATTGTGGCCATTATCAATTATCATTGCTATCACTGTTTCTGTTGTGGTTTCCTTTAATTGCTGTTATTGGTTGATGATGAATGATTGTGACCTTCTTTGATCAACCTGCCGGAGAATTGAGTAGGGGTGAATTGCAGGAAAGACAAGGGCAATGCTGGCCCTGGTGGTTTGTTTAAAGCTGTTTGGAGCTCAGCTCAAGCAGAGAAAGATAGCTCTTCAGCCAGGGAGTCAGTGGCTTTCCCTCCCAGGATTTTTGTCACAAGACTTCAAGATCTTTCCCTCACCATTCGATGGCACGATGCTCAAGATGCTCCAAGGTCATGAAAGAGAACGAGACAAAACGGCAACATTGGGGTGAGTCGGTGAAGGGCCGTGTTTCCAGCGACTACAAGGTCTGGTGCAATGCTGCACGGTCAAGACAAGACAAGACCAGACTGCCAGCAGATGCGCTTTTTGTCATTTTCCCCTGTTTCTAAAAAAATGCCCTTGTTTCTCAAACAAGACTCGGTACCTCTTTACCCTATCTATCCTTTACACCTATCCAACTTTATTCGACTATATTCAATTTATATCGATTCATTTTTTAGTAGGGCTACCGCCATGGTGGCGCCGACCCCCCTTTTTTGGGTGGCATGGCAGTAGAAGGAAGGGGGCATGGCGACAGAATAAAAATATGCGATTTTATGTATGCAGAGAGCCCCGATATACGAGCCGTCTCGTCGTGGCTCATTTGCTCGCTTTGGAGCCGTGCTGGGGGGAGAATCGTGAAGGCGCGGGGTGGCAGGGGAAGCTGAGGTCACGGAAGAACGCAGATTGCATGTTGCTTTCAAAAGCCTAGCATGCAAGGACTGGAGCCGCCGGCGACATACAACAGCCGGCCTTCAGAGGCCAGCCACAAGCCTCCAAAACGCACGTTCACACCGAAACAGCATGGCAATGAGGGACGGATGCCTTCGAAGGGCAGCTGGTCGTGGCTCATTTGCTGTGAAACGCATATTGCAAACACCGGGATGCATGTGTAGCATGTGAACCTTTCCGTACTGTCATGTGACCCCGCAGGGAGGGGCTCGAGCGACGCTGCCCAGTCAAAAGGTGCTGACCGCACCGCCGTTGTGACTTAAGTTGTCACTTCCCTTGACCTCGTGCATGGTCAGCGGAGCACTTGGTGGGACCTAGCTTCAACTTGGAGGGTGTCTTCGGCATCCTCTTGGAAGAGGGCGACGGTGGCTGCCGATGCCTGAGGGGAACGATGCGGTTCCCACATGGGATGGAGATCCCGCCAGCTTCGAGAGCTTTTGTACCTCATGCCGGTGGTACGAGCTTTTGCTGAAGGAGTCCGAAAGGCGACTATAGCTGCCCCTCAGATTTGGCAACGCCTTCAGGGGTCAGCCAAGTCCGTGGTCCGAAACTTGGAGCCGAAGGACTTCGATTCCACTGCCGGCTTGGACAAGCTGTTGGGAATCTTGAGGGAGTCACCACTTCAAAGCTGCCGATCCCGGACTCGTTCCACAGGTTGGAGAAGTGGTCAGGGATGAGACGCACCAGTGGGAAAACCATTCCTCAACTCCTGGTCCGCGAGGAGGAGCTCTTCGTGGAACTTCAGAGGGCACTACAACGTGCGCAAGCTGAACGTGCTAAAGCTGAACTTCGTTTTACAGGAGTTGGAGGAGCTGAGCGCGATCGGTCCCAAAGCCCGTCAAGATCACCGCCTGCCAGAGTTCGTGGAATGCAAGTTGGTGAGCCAGCAGCAGCAGCAGCAGCAGAAGAACAAGGTGTTTCTGGAGTTGTGCATACTCCAGTGGATGGCATGGGATCGAATGGGTTCTTTGAGGATGAGATGAGAGGGTACCGTTTGTTGAAGGCCTCATGCCTTTCGCAAGCGGAACGACAGCACGTGATGACCCTGACGAAGAACAGCACCCACTTCCATCTTATCCGCCAAGCTCTGAGATCCCTCTTCTCCGAGGACCAGCAGGACGATGGCTCAAGCAGAAGAAGGTCTGGCATGCTGAAGCAGAGGATTCATGGAGTCCGACATGGGAGGCTGACGACAATGCAGCCTACTGGATGGATGATGACGGCCTTCAATGGGATGAAGAATATGCATACTGGAATGACTGGCCATCACCTTCGAGTTCTTGGGATGATGCCTACACCTATGAGGAGCACGACACCACTGCCTATGAGGAGACGGCCGACATGGACAAGGAGAAGACGCAAGAGGAGATCGATGAAGACCGACGTGTTGAAGAAGCCTACACGCTGGCTGCTGAGGCCAACCGCACTTTGGCTGAGGCAAAGCAGGTTGTGGCACGTGTTCGAGCTGCTCGTGGATACTACGATCCAACTGGCACCAAGGGGCACACCGGCAAGGGCAAGGGCAAACCGAAAGCTGGAAAAGGCAAAGGAGCTACGGCCATGTTTCACTTGTGGCCGGCCAGGACATTCGTACCTGCACTGTCCTGACAGTTGGTCACCACAGCCGAAAGGCGCAATACCCCAAAAGGGGAAGGGCAAGCCGTCTGGCATGAAAGGTGGAAAAGGCTTCAAGGGCAAAGGCAAGAGGGCCTACTTCATGGAGTATAACCCCACGCACTACACTGACTATGACATGTCCCATGTGTATGTCCTCTCCACTGTGGATGAGAACCACGACCAGTCCATCGCCATTGGGAAGGCCATCTTGGACACGGGCGCAACAGAATCCGTGGCAGGAGTCGCAATGGTGGCTCGACTGATCGACAACGGCCTCATGGAGTACACCATCAGATTGGACGACAGGCCGAGCTTCGGGTTTGGCAACGGGCAGACCCAACGCGCAGTTTCCAAATTGGAGCTGATGACACCTGCGCTTGGGAAGATTAGCTTCTACCTCTTGGATGATGGAGCCGACTGCACTCCGATGCTGATTGGAGCTCGGGAGCTTCGAAAACGCAAGGCGATGATCTCTTACAAGGGCGACTGGCTGGCGTACCTCCTGGACAACGACTGGTGGGCATGTTCTTTGAAGTCACTTCGCAATGGGCACTTGGCTTTGGATCTTCTTCGAGCACGACGTCCTCTCTGCACCTTGATCCGGCAGTTTGCACGTTGGCCGGATCCACCTCCTGGCCGACGAGATGATGAAAGTGATGGAGAAGATGAGGGCGATGGCAACGATCCACATCGCCGGAAGAGACGAGGGGACCCGGGAGCTCGCTTGAGCGGCTTGTGAGACAGGAGACTGTGGGTGCTGGAGCCTACGGTGGAGGCAACGGTTGTGCAGCAGGCCACAAACCACCTGTTGCCCCAGCTGAAGTTCCTGGAGAAGCACCTACGACTCCTGTGGAAGACAGTGTCAGGGAGTCTGATGACAATGACGATGGACATCATGCCTACGTCCGTGGACTTAGAGAAGGCAGTTCAGAGCTTCGAGAAGATGAATCTGCCAGAACCCTCCCTCCAGAAACTCCAGAACTTGGACGCCGAGGTGGTCCTATGGATGTCTCCAATGTGGAGAAGACTTTGGACACTCATGCAGAGGCGGCTGAAAACAGTGAGCCGTCGTTCGTTGAGCGTCCTTTCACCTCTGAAGCGACTAGATCGGGGACTAGCGGGGGATCATCAAGTATGTCTCATGTCACTTCAATTGAACTTCAACCTGCACAACATGAGGAACCACGTGACATTATGATGATCAGCTGTCATGGATGGAAGGTATCAGGTGATGAGGTGAAAAGTTTGGGCCGAGTTCAACATGATGGGCACCGTCACAACATGGACGACCGCCTCAGCAGCTTGGCTCAACGTCTGCGACAGCTGCAAAACCAGGTCTTTGGACCATATGAAAACGGTTCCCCCTGCCGCAGACTTCGATCCCCGGCAAACTGGATGGCAATGTATGGGAGCCCACAAGCCGGGCCGCGAGCGCAGCAACCAGTATGCGCTGTGGACAGCATGCAGTCGATGTGGACTGCGCCTGACCTATGTGGCCAAGGGGCGCTACCAGGGAGACACCAGAGCAGTTGGGCCACCGAGAGAGCTGGTGATCCAAGCGCAGGAGGAGCTGCGAGTGGAGTTTGCCGTGATGGACATGAACGAGAAGATCTTCCAGGGCAAGCTCCTGGAGAAGGGCAGAGAGCTGGTGAATTCTCGTGGAGCCGGACGAACCAATGTCCAAGTCCGTGCCGACGAGCGCTTGGGACAGCTGATGATGAACGAGCCGCCGAGGACAACAAGCGCGAAGGCGAAGTCGGCAGCGACACCGCCAATCCCAGAGGAGCACATCGCGGAGACGGCACCACTGACCTCCAGGACGCCCAAGACTCCTTCGAGACGATCCACCTCTCTTGGGCAGGAGTCAGCACCATCGACTCCGGGAGACCAGGGCTACAATCAGACCAAGCCCATCAAGAAGGAGAAGTCCGTGGAGACCAAGAAGAAGGAGGTCATTGTGGCTCCATCGGAGGTGCTGACGATCTCCGACGACGACATGGTGAGCTCCGAGGAGGAGAAGATCAAGGGCAGGGCCAAGAGCAGCCAGGGCGAGTGAGCGTCCTGTGGAAATCGCTGCGTCACCTGCAACACCGAATGCGTGCTTGGTCAGCTAGAAGCCTCCACGTCCACGTTCCGCCACACCGAAACAGAATGGCAGTGAGGGACGGATCGTGCCTTCGAAGGGCAGCTGGTCATGGCTCATTTGCTGGCTTTGAATCGCATCTAGAACACGTTTCAAAGGCCAGCTACAAGCCTCCAAAACGTACTGCCTTCGAAGGGCAGCTGGTCGTGGCTCATTTGCTGTCTTTGAAACGCATATAGAACAAGCATGGTCAGCTAGAAGCCTCCACGTCCACGTGCCGCCACACCGAACCAGAATGGCAGTGAGGGACGGATCGTGCCTTCGAAGGGCAGCTGGTCGTGGCTCATGTGCTGGCTCTGAATCGCATCTAGAACACGTTTCAAAGGCCAGCTACAAGCCTCCAAAACGTACGTTCCGCCACACCGAAACAGAATGGCAGTGAGGGACGGATCGTGCCTTCGAAGGGCAGCTGGTCGTGGCTCATGTGCTGGCTTTGAATCGCATCTAGAACACGTTTCAAAGGCCAGCTACAAGCCTCCAAAACGTACTGCCTTCGAAGGGCAGCTGGTCGTGGCTCATTTGCTGTCTTTGAAACGCATAGAATAAGCTTGGTCAGCTAGAAGCCTCCACGTCCACGTGCCGCCACACCGAAACAGAATGGCAGTGAGGGACGGATCGTGCCTTCGAAGGGCAGCTGGTCGTGGCTCATTTGCTGTCTTTGAAACGCATATAGAGCAAGTTTCAAAGGCCAACTACAAGCCTCCAAAACGTACGTTCCGCCACACCGAAACAGAATGGCAGTGAGGGACGGATCATGCCTTCCAAGGGTAGCTGGCCGTGGCTCGCATTGAAACGTATATAGAACCAAACACTGTACGAAATATGACGCGCCGTCAGCTCGTGAACTGCTTGCCAATGAAGGCAAACAGGCCGCTGATGATGCTGTCTCGGGCGCCTCCCCCTGCAATGGCAACGGCAGGGGTCGGCGGATCACCTACGGATTCTGCAGATCCTACTCTGAATCCTAGAGTTTTTGTATCTATTGTAAAATTCATTTTTTAGATTTTAATATATATATATAAACAAGAAAAAAAATATTTATATTTATATCATAATTTATATCTATATTCTATTTTCCCCTGATCTTTGGCAAATCGGCAAATCGGAGCCAGGGCCTGACGGATGCGGAGCTGGAGCGGCGCTTCGCCTCCGGCGGCGGCAACGCCTCGGAGCGCTGCGCCGCACGTCGACACGTCGCTCCCACGCGGTTCTTGGTGCCGTGATCAGTCCACTGGCCATGCTAAAAATACGCGATGACCAAAGCCACATGATATACATATATCATTGTGGTAAATATATAGTCATGAAAGAATCAATTAATTATAAACTGATGCTAATACTGATGATACCAATAACGAATAATTGTAACTATCATCATACTGTGTCTCCTCCAGGAGAAGCTCATGACGGAGCAAGAAGTGCTGGCAATGCCGCTGCTTCAGCCGGTGCCGATCCGTGGTGCCAGAGTGTACCAAAACGGCAGAAAATTCGGGCGATTACCTGATACAGAAGATATGCAGAAGCATCTGATTTCATATAATTTCATATATAATGTTTTCACATGTTATTAACATTTACTAACCATAATCAACTTACAACTATATGAACTATATGCTCAATCGTGTTGATTTGTTCCAGGGTTCGGGTGGTTTTCGGTGTAAGCTCGGCCTCATTGCTTTGTGTCCTGAGGCTGCGAAAGGGCAAGGATGGCAAGGAGAAGAAAAAATGACCAGTACTGAGAATCTGAGATCCTTCAGAGATATCCGACGACATTTCGCTTCAGAACGTTGAGCTGAAAACACGAACTTGAAAGGGCTAGCCTTGAGACTGCTGTGCTCAAACCCAATTGTTATGCAAAGACATACCGCTGCTTACAGCTTGTCCGGGTCATCATTTTCGGATCGTCGCAATGGCTGAATCGTTTGGAAATCTCTTGAGGTGTCAATTTCACCCCTCTCAGGTTCGGACGCAAATCACCATGAGATCACCATGAGATCATCACGTTGATTCACCAGTCACCATGTCATATTGATCATGGTGGGTTAACCAGCATGGCATGGCAGCATTTCCCGTTGGACCTGAGCAAGTCGACAAAGTTCAGAATGCGGCGCGAATGGACATTGATCCAAAGAGGTACCAGGAAGCAGCCATGAAAAAGGCTTGCAATGCAACACTGCAATGTTTGAGAAATGTGAGATTCGAAATCATCCAACATGTTAAGAACACCAAATTGAACACCCAGACTCGCGATAAATCAAGAACCTGCTTTGTTCTTCCTCACTTACAGTTGCCCACCTTCATGGTGGAATCGTCATTCGAACACGGAAAGCTAGTAATTCTGGGCTTGGAAGTGGTCTGCAGTGACTATGATGTTGAAGCAAGTACCTTGGTGGAACGGAGGGGTATGAAAGTGAATCACAGACTTTCGCAAGGTGGAAGAAGCATTCCATATTTTTCCAGTCAATTTTTTGGGCGTTTGTTCTTGACCCCTGTTGAACCGCTCAATCTTAGTTGGACCACGGCCTTTAGACGGCGGTGGTGTTTTGTTGACGTTGGGGGGTGGGGTGGGGCATGTATTAACGTTCATGTGAACTTGCAGATGAAGTACATGCTACGCTTTGGCTGCCGGCAGGTGCATGTATTCATGGGTGGGGTGGGGTGGGGTGGATAATAACGTCCATGGCCCTCTCTTTCATTGGTCATGCTACGCTACTCTATGTTCTCTTGAGCTTTGCACTCACGGGTCATGCTACGGTACTGTATGTTCTCTTGAACTTTGCAGTCCTGCGTCATGCTACGCTACTGTATGCTGTCTTGAACTTTGCATTCATTCGTCATGCTACGCTATTGTTTGTTTTCTTGAACTTTGCACTCATGCGTCATGCTACGCTATCGTATGTTCTCTTGAACTTTGCAGTCCTGCGTCATGCTACGCTATCGTATGTTCTCTTGAACTTTGCACTCATGCGTCATGCTACGCTATCGTATGTTCTCTTGGACTTTGCGCTCATGCATCATGCTACGCTATCGTATGTTCTCTTGAACTTTGCACTCATGCTGCGGTACTGTATGTTCTCTTGAACTTTTGCACTCATGGGTGATGCTACGCACCCCTCCGTGACACAATATGTGCTCATGTGGTGCTGGCGTTCAAGCTTATAGAGTCCAGATCCTAAAAGGTTCTTGGAAGATCTGGAGCCGCTGCTCTGACCAAGAAACGGCTAAAAACATGTGACGACGAATTAGTTTCAGGTTGGCCAGAAAACGCAAAAATGGTAGTTTCGTGTAGGCGAAATGATTGTTATCGTTCTACTGCTTGTGAATAAGGGGTTAACGACCTTAAAAATAAAGTCGTACAAATTCCCATTGGCACGAGCACATCAAGCATGATCAACAACATCATACAACATCCCATTAATAAAAAAAACCCACGGCCATCTAAAGGCCGTGCTCCTAGTTGGTCAGCCGTCTCATGTTTGATCCACTCTTGCCGGCTAAGGGCTACATCTGGGACTTCCTGATTTCAACGAGGCTAAGGCTGAAGCCGAAGCATTCCCAGTGCTGTCCGCCGTCCCATCGGTCCCATGTTGGTAGATTCCACAAATTCGTTGGTCAAAGGCGAAACTCTGAGCACCGCATGTTGTGGGCCCAGACATCGATTCTCTGCCGGTGATCCAAACGTTCATGGATAAGTCTGGATAGCAAAACTGAAACACAAGGACTTGAACAATCAGTACAATCAAGAATAATCAAGAGATATCATGATCAATTCAGTTGCTACGGCTGTAGTCAATATTTCGCGCTGAGGATATACTAAAGGGCCTGGTAGCCCAAGACTTTCCGCATGTGGAAATGAGGTAACGCGTGGTGATGATGTTTCCCTGAATCTACGTGGAGGACCAGTCTCACACACGATCATCATATGACAGAAGAGATGACGGAAGTAAAGGCTGTTAAGTTAAGTCGCGCAAAGGACGTGAAACTTATTCAAAGTCTGAGGTTACTTGAGGCAGTTTAGGATGTGCTTCCTGCCAACATCAACCAACCAACATAATCCACCTGCTTTGCTTCTGCGGCAGGTTGCGAAAAACATGCCTGAGGAACAGCTGCACAAGTTGATTAAAAGGGTGGCTGTCAGCTTGTCCTCAATCGGTAGAGTGATGCAAGTTTACTGGGGTGACCGCAGTTCGACCCCAAGCACTAGAAACATGATGAAACATGGAGGTGATTTGAAGTTTTACATGAGATCAGTTGACATCGACTTGCTAGACCTGCCTTTCAGTGGCGAGAGACTTTGAATCAATCACCCGAAAGCTCCAGATCATTTCAGATCACGAGCAGGCACACGCACGCACACACACACACTGTGGGGTAATGGTGAGTGGAAAGTGTGAATGATGTCACCGTCGTCGCCTAATGTCCTGAGTTGCCTGTCATCGCAAGCAGGTTGAGAACGTCACAATCGAAGTGGTGACTTCTGGAAAATCAAAATTTCAAACTGTCGAAAAGTACCTAAACAGCCTGAATAGAACAGCTTGTTCAACAGTTCAATACATTTCAATCGAAGGCAGGTACGTCACGGTGATCAACCGTGATATCCGCATGTGCTGTGGCCGCTTCGTTGGACCATCGCACACAGCACATGGATGGTCCCCCTGCTTCATAAGAATTATACATGCGCGTATACAGAACTGAACCGTTTGTTATAACGGTATACACACACATACACACACACAATGGCCCCGAAATGGGGCAAAACGCAAAGCACCTAGTTTTTTACCTAGTAAATCTGACCTAAGGAGCCTGCCTAAGAGAATGAATACATGGCCTAAAAAGAACCTGATGGCGATGACGAGTGATGTGAGAATGCTATTGAGACTCCGACCAAATCGAAGGTTCGCTGCACTCGTAGTGTTAGTGACTTCGACTTATGTCTTCTTTGTCCGAATTGGACGAAACTTCTGCCTTATGACTTCTTTGCCTTATGGCTGCTTCGATTGGATTTTACTTCGTCTTATGACGCTTGAAATGCACTCGGAGTGCATACGGCTTCGGAGCTTCATTCTCCACTCTGAATACGGGAAAATGCCCGCTCATGACTTTCTGATTGGTCGAAACCAACCGACGGTGTGACCAAGTCAGGTCCAAAACCCTTGACACACTGTGGGGTAATGGTGAGTGGAAAGTGTGAATGATGTCACCGTCGTCGCCTGTCGCCTAATGTCCTGAGTTACCTGTCATCGCAAGCAGGTTGAGATCGTCACAATCGAAGTGGTGACTTCTGGAAAATCAAAATTTCAAACTGTCGAAAAGTACCTAAACAGCCTGAATAGAACAGCTTGTTCAACAGTTCAATACATTTCAATCGAAGGCAGGTACGTCACGGTGATCAACCGTGATATCCGCATGTACTGTGGCCGCTTCGTTGGACCATCGCACACAGCACATGGATGGTCCCCCTGCTTCATAAGAATTATACATGCGCGTATACAGAACTGAACCGTTTGTTATAACGGTACACACACACACGCTTGCTCAGAACTGTCTTATTGAATTGCGATGTGGAATGCATCGGGCGTGCACAAAACACTTTCATTACACTTGCCAGGAAAGAGAGTTCGGAACTCCAGAGGTGGAAGGTAGAAGGCCACAATCGTTGTATCCAAGAGGAAATAAATACACCGACATGAAGCTCCAAAACCACAGTCTTGAGTTGCGCCAGCAATGAAGAATGAAGTCCAAACTTGTCACCCTCCTCCATCCACAAGCTTAACATCAAAAGTATCCAGATGTGATCCTCGTTGAAACTCAGATTGCGCCAACAGTGCAGACATGAAGTGGAAAAACAAATCGTCTTGCCGGTTTTGAGCTTAGCCAGTTGCTATAACGAGTGCAGGTACGTGCAATCTGCGTCCAGATTGCATATCGCAGCAAACTTGGAGTGTCTTCGTTGAGTGGTGACTCCAAGAATGCCCACCACTCCCCTGCAACTAAGATATATCAGGGTACGAGTTTTACATCTATTGAGATGTTTCACACACACAAAAAAGTAATCCAAATAGTCACTCTTGGGACACAAGCAAAGATTAAATTGTACAGTTTCCAGATCACAGATTCACATGCAACAAGTTATTCAGCTGAATAGGGGTCGGCAATAGGGGTCCGTTTCGCACTGACAGGAATCCAGACTTCAAATTGTCAACAGCCATGGACCCCATTAGCGTTGGCATGTCCAGCTTCGGGCTGATGTCTGGAATGTCTGGCCTGACAGCGGCAGCCACAGCATCTGCTTCCACCACAGTGCAACAGTAGCCGCTGCTGCCACAGTTACCATGCCGTTCTGGCTGCCAGTAGTGGGGGCTACAAGCCTTGTTGTGGGCGCTGTTCTTGTGGTGAAGACCCAGGCGTTTGCAAACAATGCTGTGGAGGAGGCCCAACCTCCAACATGGTACAGTGCTGGGGCATGGCTCGTTTGGCCGGGTGGCATTGCACAAAGAAGGTGCTGCATGTTTTGCTTTGAAAAGCATTCCGCACCGCCTGCTGCAAAGCCGCAACATGGAAAAGGCTTTGCGCATTGAGCGCGAAGCGCTGGCCCTTGGGACGTGGGGCAACGAAAAAGATATCAAATTCCATGCTGCTTGTGTTGCAGAAGCTGTTGCTTTCATCCATGAACGCCGGGTCACGCACAGGGACATCAAGCCACCAAACTTTTTGTTAGACGCGCAGGGCCACTGCAAACTGGCAGCTCGGCGCTGCGAAGATTGGCGGCGGCCAAGCACGGACTTGTGCCGGAACTCCACAGTACCGTGCTCCTGAAATGGTATGGGGCGCTTGCTATAACGCAGCCGTGGATTGGTGGGCGCTTGGGTGCGTTCTTTTTGAACTATGGTCAGGCAAGCCCTTGTTTACAGGAAAAACCGATGAAATTTTCAGTGCCATTGCGAGCTTCGATCCGGCTTGTTCAACAAGCTTTTCGGGATGCAACTGCCTAGGCGCCGGCAGCCGCAGACCCAAAGGGACGCATTGGATCAAAAGGCGTCAAAGTCCACTTCTGGTATGAAAACTACGCATGGCCTAACCCATCCATGGCGCATCGTCCAAACCCAATCTTGCTGCAAAGCATAAGCTTTGCGCTCGTCCATTCGCAATTGTGCAGCCAGAGCGCCGCAACCGAGAACGCTGCAGCAGCACTGTATCGATGGTTTTCTTTTCTCGTTGACCTTCTTTAACCGTGTTGACCTGCTTTGACACTCTGTTACTGTTCCCTGCAAATGGTGCATATGGCCATGGGAAGGTGGGTACCAGATGTCGAAGACCTGGCCTTGGCGAATGTCCTTCAAAGACTTTCAATGTTTTTCCCTTTGCGTTTCCGTGCTGTGAAATTTTATTTGCCTCGCCATTGCAGCCCAACCAACTCCAAAGAGTGGTGCGTGCTCATCTTTGCTGATTGCACGCGGGCAAATTAGCATTGTTGTCAAATCATCCCAAAATCCTCCAAGCGTCTTTGGAAATCAGTGTGAGGTCAGTAGGGTCTCTTAAAGGCTTTAAACGTACAACGATGTCCGGCCTCGATGCGCTCAAAGAAGAGTAGAGCCATTGATTTGCATGGGCAACCACATTTGCACGATATTGCGGGCGAGGTTCACAAGTCAACCGAGTCAACCACTGCATTAGTGATTGTGGCACCCAACAGGCGATTTTTGTTTTTGGTTTTCAGTTCGCCTCTTGCACATCACACTGCATCAGAATTTCACACAAGCAACATTGCACGACGCCGTCACGTAGCACGCTTTGTGAAGCACTCTTCGTGAAGCACGCTTTGTTTCACGGTGCGGAACCTAGACTTCCTGGGCCTGAAGCCTTCAGCATCTTGAAACGGTGTGAAGTCAAGTCATTCCAATGCTCCAATCAAATCGAAACACGGTTCCATAGGATTCCTGCGGCGGGCCCGGCCTAAGGAAAACGGCTTGAGTGAGTGATCGAGTGATCTTGTGTTTGTGAACTTCAATCTATTTGCGTCTCTAGGTAAAACTTTGTATACTTACAGTACAGTAGTACTTAGATCATATAGTCATATAGTATGCTTCTCTCTGCACTTCTTCCTTTTCTTCGTCTTAGCTCTTTGTTGCACTTGGACCCAGCGTGCTGAGATGGATTTTGGCTCCGACACTGTGGTCGTACCACGCCGTTTGCTAAGCTCCTTGGCTTTGGCAAAATGGTTGTGACGCAGCGCAATCGACGATGGCTCTAGAAACTCGATTCGTGACATTCGTGGCTTTGTGGCATCCATCACATTGGTGACATTCGTGATAGTTCATAGGATTAGGTAAGCATACTCCTTGTTAAAAGCTTTTAGATTTTCTTGGGTCAGTAAAGTTCCCACAAAGAATGCTGGGAAATTCCACATGGGTTCCCATTGAATTTCGGAAACGGCCTCGCTTGTGCCCGTCGATTTGTCTCGCTTGTGCCCGTGCAGCCCCTTTCAGTGACTTTACGTGGCATGGCCAAGGTAAACAGCAGCTAAGGAAGTAACTAGCGTGTTGAAGAGCAAGTGAACACATATTTTCATGGCTTAGTGCACACATGTTTTTTTTTGCGTCTCAAGAACTTAGACAAGGTCCCCCCTAAACCCAAGTCCCCAAGTCCCAGCCTAAAAGGTTGTTTATGTACACTTTGATACCTACACCCTGTCTCCTTGTCCCCAAGTCCCCCCCGTTTATGTACACTTTGATACCTACACCCTGTCTCCTTGTCCCCCAGCCCCGCGTAAACCCAAGTCCCCAAGTCCCAACCTAAAAGGTTGTTTATGTACACTTTGATACCTACACCCTGTCTCCTTGTCCCCCAGCCCCCCTAAACCCAAGTCCCCAAGTCCCAACCTAAAAGGTTGTTTATGTACACTTTGATACCTACACCCTGTCTCCTTGACCCCAAGTCCTGCCTAAACCCAAGTCCCCAAGTCCCAGCCTAAAAGGTTGTTTATGTACTCTTTGATACCTACACCATGTCTCCTTGTCCCCAAGTCCGCCCCTAAACCCAAGTCACCAAGTCCCGACCTAAAATGTTGTTTTTGTACATGAAGATAGGTATACATGAATCTGGGCGCAAGTGAGTCGTCTTGATGGGCGCAAGTGAGGCTGGTTCCTTGAATTTCCCCAAGAACCCCACTGGACCCCCAAGGAAAACAAATGAACACCCCGCAGAAACCATGTGAATCGTGGCCCCAAAAGGAAATTGTTTGAAAAGAAATTAAACCCAAAGCCCCTCAGTGGCCAGGAGCGCAGCTCAAATGCCGGTCACAAACAAATAAGGCCAAAATACCAAGGCAACCCCAAGCAACCAAATCCAATTTCCCATAGCAATCTAGCAAAATCCCACACATGTTCTAAGAGCAATCTACGTAATTTAATTCCAATACATTTTGCTAAGTACAGCCTAATAGAATCGAAACAAAGCTAATATAATCCCAGATGAACCTGACAAAATCAAAAAACACAAAAAAGAAAAAACATCCAAAAAATGAGCCAGCACCAGCGGAACCCCAACCGAACCTAAATAAAACCAACAACAAACACAAAAAATGGGGCAAGCCTCCAGCGCGCATTCAACAGCAATTTCCATTAAAAGGCAATGCCTAAACAGGACTCCGCCTATTTTTAACCAGCGCTTCCAAATTACTGTATTTTTCCAGATATTTCTCATTATTGTTTCAAACTCTGTGGCTTGTTGCCTCATTGGACCTTCAACAATGATTTAGTAGCGGATCTATCCTTTGGGGTGTCTATGTAGTGGTGCTTAATGTTTTTTTGAGGATGGACAAGAATGAAACCCAAACAAATGGACCAGGATTTTGCTAGATTCTGTTAGATTCAAGGGTTTCCCCAAGGCCTAAGCTGTTTCAAAAAGACTTCTAACAGAAGTGCATTTGCAAGAAAGCAAATCTGTGGGCCTTGGGTGTTGGCAAATTCCTGGATTCAGCGTGTTATCTTACCAGGCCTTAGCATATCTTACCAATTTCTTACCCCAACAACGAAAGCACCTGAGCCGCAAGACCCGTAAGCCCCGCAAGCCCTCCAAGCCCCGCAAGCCCTGCAAGCCAAATGGCCAAGCATTTCCCACAGGTGAGATCCTGGAAGACGGGATTTGCCCTTTGCATTTGCGGATCCAGTGCCTTAGTCATTAAGGGCACCGTGCCGTCTAGGAATCTGAATTTATATGAATCTATGACGTCTTCAGGAATACCAAAGAACCAGCTGGAAAAAGGATATAAAAGGTATCGAAAAGTAGGTTTGTTTGATGCAAGAAGGCAACACATCTCAGAGAGATTGGCAGGAGGAAGGTGTCTCTACAACCATGAGGAATGCTTCGGCATTCCAGCCTCAGAAGCTTTTGGAATTCCAATTTCCTGTCCATTGACAATTTGGTGGCTCAGAACCCGATTTCTTAGTTCAGTGAAGGAGCATGAACGAAGCATTTTCGCATGTTGAATGGTCCAGAACAGCCATGGGTCGTCTAAGGATACAGCGATTGCTTTCTGCTCCTTCTGCTCCACCGGGCCAAGCTGCCACTGTTGGGGTTTCTGGGAGGAACACAGCCATGTCAGTACCAGCGGCTTGAAGTCAAATGACCAAATTGGCCAGTGAAGCCAAAGGTCAAATGTGCAGAGATATTCAGAGATGATCAATTAGATCGAAAACATATCAGTAACATTCAATAACTTTACACACTATACACAGCGTTTGCAATGTTGATCACTGACTGTTTTTGATCCTTCTCTATGATTATTGGGCTCAAGGCCAGGCAGGATATCCCCTTCTGACGAGGGGTGGTGCCTAGGGTCCGCGTGCCATTGTAGGTCTTGAAATAAGGGAACATTTCATTGGTTGCAAACCCATCGCAAAAACTACATGAGAAAGCCTTGACTCTGTCGACTCCAACTACTTCAGCATATTCAGCACGCTGGAATCTCACCGCGTCCCATCGCCACCATCGGGTTCAGTGAATAGTTAGGATATTCAGGCGGGCAATTTGATGACTCTCTGCCATGAGTTTTGGGGGCATGGACGCCGATGCAAGAGCAGCTGGCTTGCAAGCAGAATTCAAGAAAGTAATTCGCATGCCGGATATCTGGGATACTTGAAAAGAAATTGGGACCTCTCGGGCTCTTCAATGCAACAGCATGCAGCAGCATGTCTACAACATATTTTTTTACACACACACATGCAGCGTGTACATACATTCATTTATAGGTACCCATTTACATGCATGCATACATACATGCATGCATGCATACATGCATGCTTGCATGCATACACACATACATACATACATACATCTGGGTAAATTAAAACCACCTCACTGCAACCTCACTGGAACCATGGTTTATAAGGAAACCATCCCAAATGGCTTTAATTCAGGTTACTGAAATATCGTAATTTACATACATACATACATACATACAAACATACAAACATACAAACATACAAACATACATACACACATACATACATATATATATATTTCCAGTAGTATGCGCTCGAGGCGGGGTGGAAGTTGCCTTAGGGTTATACTATAAGACCTTTTTTAATCTATAGAACTTGCATGCGCCGTGCGCCAGCGAGACCCGTGCGTGCGTGCTTTTTGCGAAAGTGCTTCACTGTTCACTTGAAACTCCACGCTTCGCTCTCCACTCTTCACACTTCACACTTCATCTCATCTCATTTGATCTGAGCTTTTCTCGCCTCATCTCAGCTCATCTCAGATCTTCTCATCTCATGTCATCTCTTCTCATGTGTCACCTAATAGTTCTTCTCATCTATTTCCATCTCACCTGAGCACAGCTCAACCTTTCTCATCTCATCGAAGCTCTTCTTAACTCATCTCGGCTCTTCTGTACATCAGAAAGCTTTTGCTTTCAGAGAAAAGACCTTGCACACAATAGGCGTTGCGCACAGAAAGCTTTTGCACGCAGAAGCTTGAGACACGGATGGGTTTACAGAAAAGCTTTTACACGCAGAAAGCCTCTGCACATGAGAAGCTTTTGCACACAGAACTTTTGCACAGAGAAGCTTTTACACAAAGAAGCATTTACACAGGGCAAGTTTTTACAGAAAGAAGCTTTTACACACAGCAAGTTTTTACACAGCGAAACTTTTTCACAGAGAAGCTTTTACTCACAGCAAGCTTTTATACAAACAAACCATATAAGCCTTTACACACAACACTTACACACAGCAGCTTTTACAAGCAGCAAGCTTTTACACTGGACAAAGCCACAAGGGCAGAAGAAATCTTTATAGTACCGGCAGGTCCACAATCAGAATCTCAGGATCTGCAGGTCCGAAACCCAAATCTCGTAGACAACTGTGGTTCTGCTCTATAGGGTGGTCGGACTCTGAAGCTTTGTGGGAAAATCTGTTGTTTTGTGGATTTTTTTTGTTTGAGCGGCCATCAGCTATGCGCTCAGGCATCCAGATGCACCGCAGCAGGTACAAGATGCTGCGTCCAGCATCTCATCCACCCGATTTCTGTAGCTTCATTGGCACGGCTAAGAAATCGGGCGCCGTGCCCCCTGCTTGTTGAGATTTTTTAGTCGGTGGGTTGGTTGTGTTTGACATGCCTGTGCAAGAGTGTTCCTGTTGTTTCGGCAAAACCAGTTCGCAATACTGGGTCGCACACACACACACGGAAGCCACGAGGGCTTTGGGCAATTCAAATATCCAGCACGCACGCAAACAAATAGTGCATGTGGTCACGAGTCACACTTCAAAGAGCAAAGCTGGAGTTATATCGTGGTAAAATGAATTAAAATGGTTAATACCTTTACGATTGCCACTCTACCCCAGCCCTGCTAGCTTTCGTACCTCCAACCTGGCCTCAAGTGTTGCGGCATGTTTGGCCAGCCGCTGGGCAGCATGTTGCCCATCATAGACGGCATCTGGGGAATTGTCATCTGGTGTGGCGCAGAAATCCCCATCTGCAAAGGGATTCCGGGGCCAGAGCGTTCCGGATTCAACATCATGGTATGTCAGGAATTCAAACGTAACATGAAAATGTTTTCAAATTACAGAGGTTTCTTGTTTGATGGGAAGTGTCCCAAACCCTAATGTATGAGTCTGTGTGATACATGTCAAGACATGCTGTCCTTACTGAGAGAAGGTGCATTGTGCCATTTGCTGCACAGATCCAACACTTGAACCTGGGTGTAAGCGCACAGAAAATTGCAAACCGCAAAAGATGGAATCCTATGCGCAAAAATCAGAGGAAGCAGAAAGTGGAGGATTGGAGCAACTTGTGTAAGCCTTGTCCCATCCCTGGTATGTAGTACGCGGTGTTGCTATCCACGTTGTCAACCCGTGTCGTTTCCATGGACGGGAAGAAGCTTGTCGTTGGTACATTGTTCAGAGCAGCACCCGGAGCCCCACCCCAGCAAGCAAAAAGCAGCTGCCAAAAAGCATCGTGCCAGCTGCTTTGTTCTTACTAAAAAATAGCAAGAACAAAACATCATTTACACACCCTGCCGTGCGTCGCTGAACAAGATTTCGCGTTGAGCAACATCAAGCGCAACCAACTTTATACGAGATCAGAACTACATCATCATGCCACTGAGTATTGGGTCCAGCTTGACTGGGGCAGACTATAGGTATACACGTGGGCGAGTCGCTTGCTTGCACAGGTTGGAAGAATCTTTACGGTCAAGCTTGAAGAAAGGATCTTTACAGCCAACCTTTCAGGATAGAATCTTTACAGTCAACCTCAAGGTACCATATCATCAAAGAAATCTTTCCGGTCAATAGTGGGTCGGGGCGCAATCACCCATCATGACGACAGGCAACGAGGGAATCGCCGGGACACACTGGACAAAGCCACAGGGGCAGAAGAAATCTTTACGGTACCGGCAGGTCCACAATCAGAATCTCAGGATCTTCAAGGTGCAGACAGGTCCAGAATCAGAATCTTAAGGTGCAAACAAATCCGAAGCCAAAATCTCGTAGACGCTACATTATTGTCACAGCTGCAGTTCTGCTCTAGCCGCGGTTGTTTGTGTGGCAAGCGTGGCATTTGGACGCATCGACGTGCATTCTGTGTGGTAGGCGTGGCACTTGGAGACATCGACCTTCACTTAGTGTGGCATGCGTGGCACTTATGGCACTGGGCTGGCTCTGGTGGCGCGCTTTGGCTTCACACAACCTGCCTTCCACCATCTCCTGTCTCTTTCCTGCCCGTGCCGTCTTCACCTTTCTTTTGCGACTTATTGGAAGAAGTTGACATGTGGGGTTGTCCGGTCCTTTAATTTTAGGGCCTTTTTTTCCCCTCAAAAATTTCTTTTTCTGGACATTGTTGTCCAGGATTGGTCAAGAAAAGTACACGCGCACAGCGCCCACACACACTAGAAAGAATTGGATCATGTGAGTGATCCGTCGGGAACTGAATCCCATAACGTGCAATTAGACAAGACAAAGGGACCTAAGGTAGAACTCCCCGATGCGGTATGCAATTAATGTGAAGGAATTCCGATAAAGTCGATCACGATCAGAAACTGGTTCAAGTAGACCCCAGCATGGAATAAGAATCGAAAATTAAGATCACGACCAGAATCTTGATGAAATATCCCAGTAAACAGATTGTGGAAACCGTGCAAAATAGTCGTAAAGGATCTTCTGTCCGGTTCTGGGCTTATCCGGTCGCCATACGCAGGCAGTGATTGCAAAAAACAACATATAAATATCTGTCCGTATCCAGTAAATAAAGAAAGTTCTACAAACTAAGAATGAAATCGCAGGACGTGACTCCAGCGTCCCAGAGTCATATCAGTCATGATTGCAGCCCTCTTCGTTGGGAAATCAGCTGCAAACATGAGATTGCGCCCCTGCTTCTACGAATGACAAAACCAAATTGAAACAGAAGTTTTTCCTCTGTTCAGATATTCCACACGCACACACTTGTTGATCAGGTGTCCCAAAATACATTTCATTATTCTACCATTGGTTGCCATTGGTTTCAAGCAATTGTCCAACCTATTCAGAATTCTACCATGTATTTTTAGCAAGTGCCTAACCTGTTTCAGCATTTTCAAATTGTCGCTTAGCAGTCTTTGCAAATCGGCTTCACTGTGTTGGGCATTATTTTTCAAAAAATGGTGACCTAGCCGTCATTTTATCACTGTTTACGGCACCTTCCGAAGACAACACAAAATGTGGACATGTCGATCCATGACATGGCCAACAGGCCCACCCCCAAACATGAATTATAAAAAAGTCGGGTTAATTTGCTCCAACCGGCCCTCCAAGAATTATGGAAAAAAAGGGTCGGATCACACCCGGAAATTTCGAACCCTTACGAGGAAGACCAAACTATGGAACGAAACGGAGACAGGCGACGCCTGTCTAAGTGAGATTTTTTTCCCACAATTCTGCCGGTGACAATAGATGGAAAGATAGAAAGAAAGGAAGAAGAAAGATAGAAAGAAAAGAAAAGAAAGACAAGAAAGAAATAAAGAAAAGAAAGTAAGAAAAGAAAGAAAAGAAAGAAAAGTAAGAAAAGACAGAAAAGAAAGAAAAGAAAAGAAAGAAAAGAAAGAAAAGAAAGAAAAGAAAGAAAAGAAAGAAAAGAAAGAAAATAAAGAAAAGAAAGAAAAGAAAGAAAAGAAAGAAAAGACAGAAAAGAAAGAAAAGAAAGAAAATAAAGAAAAGAAAGAAAAGAAAGAATAGAAAGAAAAGAAAGAATAGAAAGAAAAGAAAGAAAAGAAAGAAAAGGAATAAAATAAAGAAAGAAAGAAAGCAAGAAAGAAAGAAAGAAAATTAGATAGATATTTAGATAGATAGATAGATAGATAGATAGGTAGGTAGGTAGGTAGGTAGAGAGAAAGATAGAGAGAGAAAGATAGAGAGAGAGAGAGAGATAGCTAGTGCTTGGATAGACGGGCAGGCAGATAGATAGATAGTTAGGTAAATAGACAAGTAGATCGAAGAATAGAGAGGGAGAGGGAGATAGAGATAGATGGAGAGAGAGAGGGAAATAGAGAGAGCGAGAGGCTCAGAGCCTCAGCCACCTGTCGGTCCATCAGTTGGTTCGCTCTGCCGTCCATACATCGCAACAACTCACCTCTTCTATAGTTTTCCTATCTTTGAAACTTCCGGCCGCCTTGAACGGTACTACTGGTAACCTCTATAATAACATCGTGTAGCATGCATACGTCAATGTATGTATAATGTATATAAAGATATCGATTCGCCTAGGTTGTTTGCCCCTCTTAGCTGGCCACCGCGGTTTCACAGAGAAAACTGACATAAAAACGATAAACGCTAGTCCTCAATGGCAACAACTGAAGTTTGAAAAATATCATGTTCAGAAACCATGTGACTAACAAGGTGTTTAGGTTAGCTCAAGTAAATTCATGGACAGGATCTCAATTCCCCGGATCCAGATCAGATCTCTCGCCAAGAAACCTAAGTTCTACCTTGCGAAAGAGATAAACAAACGGGACCGGAGGGACATAGTGGAAGTCAGGCCCGGCCCATGTGGTGAGCGGCCCCAATCCAGGATTTGTAAGTGCACCCCTCACCCCTCATTGGAGGCAATTATGTCAACATCATCTCTTAAGCACATTCAGTGCCTGAGGTAGCAGGGGCGACACTTCAAGTACCTGATGATCCTAGCGTCACTGCGGTGACGATGCGGGGCTTGAATCGGCAGGTGACTAGAGAGGGACTGCTGATGCTCTTATACCAAGCCTCCCAGCGCATGCCCCAGTGAAGACAGTGCTTTGAAATTGTGTTGTGGGACATAGTCACGAACAGGGTTAAAGTGGCCCCAGATGGCCCCAGGCATTTGGAACGGCCAAAATATGATTTCGTCTATTTGCCGTGGGCAATGCGGAAAGCTTGCAACATTGGATTGGCGTCTTTTGGCTGGCACCGGCTCATGTTTGCTGAGCGTGGGGTGTTCTAGGATTGATGGCTGTTGTGTGATGCATGGGGTAGGAGGTAGAACGACGCTTTTCGCCGGCCCGCGGAAAACAATGATATTTCATAATATTTCAGAGTCCTTCAGTGCCGGAAGTCAGAAGAATTTGGTGAGAACTTGCATTCAATGTTTGGCTTATTTGCTTTATATCTTTGTAGTGTATCTTATCAATCATCAATTCTAATCAATCCGAATAATGGTCCTGAAATCTTGTGTCACAGCTCCTTCGCCTGCAGTTGTGTCACACCTCATCAGGGCTGTACTGTCAGGTTCATCAACTTTGAAGATCACGCATCCTGTGTGGAATTCTTTGATGCACTGCACCGGTCACCAGAGCTCCTGCAACTTGGCAGATTCTGGAACTTTCCCAAATACTTATGTTGTAGTGCTGTATGGTATAAATTCGCAATGTCATATGATTTGACATCAAGTGTTTTTTTCATACCATGTCAGGTCACATCATATCATCCCCCATCATTTGGTTCAGTGCAACATTGAGAGATGACATGCTACGGCCACAACTTGCAAAGTGTCCGCATAGATGCATAGATGCATAGACGAGATGAATAAAGGCGATGCATATATGTGGGGAAGCATACAGGACGACAGATGGATGGAACAGACAAAGTGTTATATTGACCAGATAAAAAACGTACGCTGTATGGACAAGACGAAGTAAGACCGAATTGACGTGAATGGAAGTAGAAACATGAAACATCAAACGGTATAGATGCAATCATGGGATTCCACCATAGGATCGAACACACCCAAGAAGGTTTGAAAGAAAAAAGAGGATCTAGCTTGCAACTTTGACAGGTAGTCAGAATGAAAAGAATGGACAGAACATATTTGACAGCCATGGAACACAATCAAGCAAAACAGGGGGACCTATTGATAGATAAGTAGGAAGGCGTAAATATTGCAGAGATACAATGTGTCGTACTGCAAGGGCATGTTTGTACTTCTTGCAATTGAAGTGTTCGGTTCAGTTTCTATCTTCGTCCCAAAGAAGGTTTAAATTCCTGTACAAGATCTGTGCTCAGCAGCTGAGGATGAGTTTTGATGTCCGATATATTGGTCCTGCCACTCTTCAAGGTCGAGGTGCCACAGCCCAGAGTTCGCAGGGATTCCAATTGATTTCACCTTGGGCATCCTTTCGCAAAGCAAAGCTTTTGCATTGCTTCCACAGCCCGTTGCAGGACCCAACCTAGAAGACACTGTGGCAAAACGGGGCGCAGGCACGACTTCGCTGGGTGAAGAATTGCAAGATGTTACAAGTTGCGTTCTTCAAAGTTCCATCTATATACCATTTAGATTCATTTGGATTCATTTAAATTTAAGATCATTTCATCATTAATTTAATCTCACTTAGATCATTAACCTCTCCATACTGGAAGCTTGGGGTCACCTGGGCGACCGTGAGGAATTCTCTACGCCACCGATGCCCCCTTGGTCTTCAACAGAGGCAGTAGCAGATTGGAAGGGGACAAAGATGGATCGCGTGATGTCAACCCGGCATTGGTGAGGACAGTGGTGCCTAAATATGACGCATTTACGTTCTCATGTCTCATTCATGATGCCCATGATTCATTGGTACAAGCAGGATTTTGAGTTTTGGGTTGTGCTGAAAGACGCTCTGCTTTCTTTGAGCAAACCAAACGGGTGGAAGAAACCGATCAGTTTTGAGGAGAATGTTAATATATGTTGAACGAAGGACGGAAAGAAAAGGAAAGGAAAGGAAGGAAAGGAAGGAAAGGGAAGGGAAGGCAAGGAAAGGGAAGGGAAGGGAAGGGAAAGGGAAGAGAAGGGAAGGGAAGGAAGGGGCAGGCAGGAAGGAAGGAAGGCAGGAAGGCAGGAAGGCAAGAAGGAAGGCAGGGGAGGGAAGGAAGGAAGGAAGGGAGGGAAGGAAGGAAGGAAGGAAGCAAGGAAGGAAGCAAGCAAGCAAGCAAGGAAGGAAGGAAGCAAGCAAGCAAGCAATCAAGGAAGGAAGGAAGCAAGCAAGCAAGCAATCAAGGAAGGAAGGAAGCAAGCAAGCAAGCAAACAAGGAAGGAAGGAAGGAAGGAAGGAAGGAAACTTGTTTGAATCAACAGCGCGACAGCAATGAATTGAAGCCGGAGGGGAGCAGTGTGACTTGCTCGAAGTGGTGGCGCATGAGCTGCCCCACGTGTGGAATCAGCTTGAGGTGCCGCCGATGCCGCTGGTGCTGTTGTGATTTCGCTGATTTTCGCTCTTATTTTTACGGCCACGACGAGTTACGACGTCCTGTGATGTCTGTGATGTCATGTGAACTCCTACGAATGTGACTTTCTAGCTCGTCTCCACAAGTCTCCAGGCTATGCGAGCTCGTCGACAACAACGGCAAAGATATCAAGGCAGCTACATGGGTTACTTGGCAAATTTCGTGTGCCGAGGACAGTGGCTGATACATAGTTCGGGTGTTAAAGGATGTTAAGACGTTGGCGTATTGTGGCATGTCAGATATTAATTAAGATGTGCCAGCCACGCAGTTGCCCAGGCCCACGACCTAGGCACTGGTTGGGGAGGAAACAGGAGGAAACACATGGAAACACTTCATTTTTTATTTTTTCATGCGCTGGTGATGGTGGAATTCTGGGGCGTCATCAGTGGATGACGTGGATGGTGTGATTTTTGATGTCTAAACGGCGCTAATTTGTTCAGAGCCTCCAGGGCGCCTGTCAATATGCCGAGCATCTCTGGACAGATGGCCCACGAGGCGGGGCGATGCTTCAGATGGAGTTTCTCAACGGATAGAGTGATTTTAAAAAATGATGTTTTAGTTTTATGCACATTTTTTTTGCACCTGTTTTGTGTATGTTTTTTTTAAAAAAATCAATTTTCCGTTGATTTCTCGAATCTCAGCTCCAGCTTCGGATGATTTCAGTTGAGGCAGTTCCTGGGGCCAGTGCGGCACGTGCCGAGTACATGGAACGGTTGATGTCGCGACTTGACCAAACGGTGGTTCCAACGGATGGTCCAACAGATGGGGCCATTACGGGGTCCTTTCCGTTGCCCTTGACCGCCTTGACCCAGCGCCAAGGAATCCACACAGCGCTGCGCTCCTGCCGTTTCGCAGTGGAGGACAACACGAAGCGTGGCGGTTTCTGGATCAGAAGTGAAACCAAAACCCTTCAGCAGATTTCAGCAACCATCAGTTCCAGATTGAGACAGGTACAGATTGAACAATATTGAGCATGATTGAAGGATGCGGAGGTTTGCAGTTTGATTGTAGAGTTTACAGTTTGATGAAGTTTCAACTGTCTCGAGTCTGGCAGGCTCTGAAGTGCCAACTGCCGCCGCTCCACCAGGATCTGCCTCCCGAAGAAGTCCGCGACCGTGGAGTTTTTCTGATGTCGTACGGTTTTCCGACTGTTTTTTCCGACTGTTTTTATTGTTTTTCAGTACTAAATGGTGCTGTGGTAGCGGATATAGATGGAGAGTGATGAAAATTTAGTCTGACCGAAGGAAGTTTAGAAGTGAAACTTCCGACAATATGGACAGATGGAAAAGCAGGAAGAGTCAGAGAAGGGAAGAAGAGAGAAGATCAGAGAAGAGAAAGAGTCAGAAGAAACAAGATGCAGGCGCGCGAAAAGGTAGAAAAGCCGGGAATCACTGTGTTTCCCAATGATTTGTAAAGCGGTGGGTGCGGAGCCATCTGGCCAGATGAGAGATGAAAAAGTCAGCTTCGGACCTCTTCTGGAAGTTACGAAGTCGAAAAAGTGTGCGCCGTTGTGACGCGAAGCACGTTTCCAAGTCAAAATGTACAAAGCACACCAGGTTCGGACCATTTTTGGAAGTTGAGATGTCGAAAAAGTGCACGGTGTTGGCGCGAAGCACATTTCCAAGTCAAAATTTACAAAGCACACCATTCTCGGACCACTTTTGGAAGTTGAGATCTCGAAAAAGTGTACCCCGCTGTGGCGCGAAGCACATTTCCAAGTCAAAATGTTAAGAGCACCGCATGCTTGGACCACTTTTGAAGGTTCAGATGTGGTTTTGCGTGGCAGACGCAAGGGATTCCGCACCTTGCCAAAAGTGAGCAGAACGTGGGGGTTTTCTAGCATTTCCAAAAACGATGGCAGGCGTGGGACATTTGAAGAGGATCTGGAATGATGCATGTCGCGTTGCAGGCGCGGTACAAGAGACATGTTCATCAGAGATGTTAGGAGGTCAGCGCGCTGATTTCCTGAGACAAGTTACATTGTGGAGCATCAGATCTTCAGGTTTGATAAGATGATTTTGCGTGACAGGTGCAGCACTTCCTATGACCTGGCATCACTTTTGCGTGGCAGGCGCAACACTTTACACAGATGGAGTGGAAACATCGCAAATTGCATTGGTACGAGGCCGTCAGCTCTGCACTCAACTTTCCATATTTGAAGTTCAATTCGCAGAATTGTTTAGTTTTTGATGTTGTCACCTTTGAAAACTGAGGAAGTCTCGCAGAATTGCTTCGTTTTTGACGTTGTCAAGTTGGAAAATTGCGGAAGACTAGCAGAATTTCTTCGTTTTTGACGTTGTCAACTTCGAACATTGAGGGGTCTCGCAGAGTTGCTTCGTTTTCAAGCTGGATAGATAGATAGATTAATAGATAGACAGATACAACTACAACTACCACTACAACTTCAACTACAACTTCTACCCTCAACTCTAACCTCCACTTCAACTACACTACAGCTACAACTACCACTACCACCGCAGCTACAACTACAACTTCATTTCAATTTCAACTACACTACAGCTACAACTACAGCTACCATTACCACCACGGCTACAACCGCAAGTGCAACTACAACGACAACTATACAACTATACTACAACTACAGCTACAACGACAACCACAACTATAACTACCACTAAACTACACTACTCGACACTACAACCACAGCTGCAACTACAAGTGCAAGTGCCAGTGCAACTACAACTACACGGAACAACACGACAGCTACAACTACAGCTACTACCACTACAACTACAACTACCACTACACTACAACTACAACTAAAACTACGAACTACACCATGCCGCGCCACACTACAGTCACCATTGTTTGTGAGGTGATCACTGCAATCATTCCAAAATGCGCAACTCCAACCACGTTTCGGTCCATCAGTGGATTCGCACTGCCATCCACGCATCACAAGAACTCACCTCTCCTATAGTTCCTATCTTTGAAACTTCCGCCACCGCCTTGTGCGGTACTACTGGTATGATATATACTTTATAGTAGATTATAGTATATTATTATACCAGTAGTACCGCGCAAGGCGGTGGCGGAAGTTTCCAAAACAGGGAACCTATAGGAGAGGTTGGCTGTTGTGAATCACGGATGGCAGAGCGAAGCCACTGATGGACCGACAGGTGGTTGAGGTCTCCTCTCTTTCTCTCTTTCTTTCTCGCTTTCTCTGACTATCTACCTACCTGCCTACCGATCTATCTACGTATCTACGTATCTACGTATCTACGTATCTATCTATCGATCTATCGATCTATCTATCTATCGATCTATCTATCTATCGATCCTTCTATCGATCGATCTATCTACCTATCTATCCATCTATCTATCTATCTATCTATCTATCTGTCTTAATCTAATCTAATCTAACCTAATCTAATCTAATCTAACCTAATCTATCTATCTACCTACCTATCTATCTATCTATCTATCTTTCTATCTATCTAACTATCTATCTATCTATCTACCTACCTATCTATCTATCTATCTATCCCTCTTTCTATCTATCGATCTATCTATCTATCTTTCTATCTATCTAACTATCTATCTATCTACCTGCCTATCTATCTATCTATCTACCTATCTACCTATCTACCTATCTACCTATCTACCTATCTACCTACCTACCTACCTACCTATCTATCTATCTACCTACCTACCTATCTATCTATCTACCTACCTATCTATCTATCTATCTTTCTATCTATCTATCTATCTATCTATCTTGTCTATCAATCTATCTTGTCTATCTAATCTATTTTATCTATCTATCGATCTATCTATCTAATCTTTCTATCTATCGATCTATCGATCCATCTATCTATCTTTCTATCTAGCTATCGATCTATCGATCTATCTATCTATCTACCTATCTATCTATCTACCTATCTATCTATCTACCTATCTATCTATCTATCTCTCTCTCTCTCTCATCTCTCTATCTCATCTCTCTATCTAATCTATCTATCTCATCTCTCTATCTCTCTATCTCTCTTTCTCTCTATCTATCTACCTATCTCATCTCTCTATCTCATCTCTCTATCTCATCTCTCTATCTAATCTACCTATCTCATCTCTCTATCTAATCTATCTAATCTATCTAATCTATCTAATCTATCTAATCTATCTACTCTATCTAATCTATCTAATCTATCTAATCTATCTAATCTCTATCTAATCTATCTAATCTATCTAATCTATCTAATCTATCTAATCTATCTAATCTATCTAATCTATCTAATCTATCTAATCTATCTAATCGATCTAATCTATCTAATCTATCTATCTATCTACCTATCTATCTATCTATCTATCTAGCTATCTAGCTATCTATCTATCTCATCTGTTTATGTAACCATGTATCTATCTATCTACCTATCTATCTATCTAGCTATCTAACAATCTATCTTTCTCATCTGTCTATGTAACCATGTATCTATCTATCTACCTATCTACCTATCTATCTAGCTATCTAGCTAGCTAGCTAGCTAGCTATCTATCTATCTATTTCGCTGTCTGTCTGTCTGTCTGTCTATCTACCTGTTTATCTGCAAGCTTGAAAACGAAGCTACTCTGCGAGACTTCTTCATTTTTCAAAGTTGACAACATCAAAAACGCAGCAATTCTACGAGACTTCGTCAATGTTTGAATTTGACAACGTCAAAAACGAAGCAATTCTGCGAGACTTCTTCATTTTTCAAAGTTGACAACATCAAAAACGAAGCAATTCTGCGAGACTCCCTCAATGTTTGAACTTAACGACGTCAAAAACGAAGCAATTCTGCGAGACTTCTTGAGTTTCCAAACTTGACAACATCAAAAACGAAGTCAAAAATCGAAAGTTGCATGCAGCGCTGACGGCCTGGTACCAATGCGTTTTGCGATTTTTCCAATCCTTTGTCTAAACTACTGTGCTTGCCACGAAAAAGTGATGCCAAGTCATACGAAGTGCTGCACCTGTCACGCAAAATCATCTCAGCAAACCTGAAGATCTGAGGCTCCAAAATGCAACGCCCGGATGAAGATGTCTCTTGTACCGCGCCTGCCACGGAACCTGCATCTTTGCAGATCCTCTTCAAATGTCCCGAACATGTGGTGTTTTGTACATTTTGACTTCGAAATGTGCTGCGCGCCACAACGGCTTGCACTTTTTCGACATCTCAACTTCCAAAAGTGGTCCGAAGCTGGTGTGTTTTGTACATTTTGACATCGAAATGTGCTTCGCGCCACAACGGCGTGCACTTTTTCTACATAGCAACTTCCAAAAGCGGTCCGAACATGTGGTGTTTTGTACATTTTGACTTCGAAATGTGCTTCGCGCCACAACGGCGTGCACTTTTTCTACATAGCAACTTCCAAAAGCGGTCCGGTCCGAACATGTGGTGTTTTGTACATTTTGACTTCGAAATGTGTTTCGCGCCGCAACGGCGTCCACTTTTCCCACATTGCAACTTCCAAAAGCGGTCCGGTCCGAACATGTGGTGTTTTGTACATTTTGACTTGGAAATGTGCTTTGCGCCACAACGGCGTGCAATTTTTCATCTCTCATCTGGCCAGATGGCTTCGCACCCGCCGCTTTAGCGAGCCTACTTTTCGACGCTCCGGAGCCAGAAATCATTGGAAAAACACAATGTTTCGCGACTTTCCTACCTTTTCGCGCGCCTTCATCTTCTTTCTTCTGATTCTTTCTCTTCTCAGATGTTCTCTTTTCTACTCTTCTCTTCTCTCTGACTCTTCCCATCTCTGCTTTTCATCTGTCCATATTGTCGGAAGTTTGACTTCTAAACTTCCTTCGGTTATAATCGACTATAGTAGGTTATAGCCGAGTATATTAGATCATAGTAGTTATAGTAGTTTGTACCGCAGTGGGGCTGTAGTGGTACGGTGTTTTTTTGGAAAGTAACCTCCCTTTGTGGTCTGGTACTATGCCTTGATGCGCGCAGGTGATGCAAATAGC